CGTAATAACTGTGATAGGATGCTACCATTGCGACAAGTCAGTTCGCAAAATTTCTTTGTTCCTTCATATTCCATGATCAACTGTGAGTGGTATTATTGTGAAGTGGAAGTGTTTAGGAACCACAGCAACTCAGCCAGGAAGTGACAGACCATGTAAAGTTACAGAGCGGGGTTGCTGAGTGTTGAGGCGCATAGTGCATAAAAGTCACCACCGCTCTGCTGACTCAATAAGTGTAGAGATCCGACATTAACATCAGCACAAAAACACTGTGCTAACTGTAAAGTTTGGTGGAGGAGGGAAAATGAAACAGGGTTGTTTTTTTAGGGGTTGGCCTAGACCCCTTAGTTCCAGTGAAGGGAAATCTTAATGCTTCAGCATTCAAGACCTTTTGGACAATTGTATGCTTCCAACTTTGTGGGAACAGTTTGGGGAAGGTCCTTTTCTGTTCCAGCATGACTGAGCCCCAGTACACAAAGCGAGGTCCGTAAAGACATGGCTGGGTGAGTTTGGTGTGGAAGAACTTGACTGGCCCACACAGAGCCCTGACCTCAACCCCATCAAACACCTCTGGGATGAACTAGAATAGAGATAGTGAGCCAGGCCCTCTCGTCTAACATCAGTGCCCGACCTCACAAATGCTCTTCTGGATGAATGGGTTAAAATTCCCATAGACACACTCCAATATAATGTAGAAAGCTTCCCAGAAGAGTGGAAGCTGTTATAGATGCAAAGACCAACTCCATATTAATGCCTTTGGATTTAGAATGGGATGTCATAAAAGCTCCTGTAGGTGTGATGTATAGGAGTCCCAATACTTTTGTCCATATAGTGTATCTTTATAGGCAGGGTTGGTGTGTATTCAGGGCAGAATATTGAGTGATTGCCTGTTAGCACACTGTCAGTAATCCCAAAGCAGAAAATAAATAGCGCTTCTGTTTTGGGTCAATTCCCATCAAGCAGAATTTCAGTTCCTTACCTAATTTCCTGAAATTGCTTCCTTTTTTCTCACCCATGTGACCATAAGTCTGGGAAGGAGTCATTTTTAACTCTAAACTAGATAAAACTCCAAACAAGATAAAGCTGGCCTAGGGCACAAATATCCCTGAGGTGTAAAGCTCTTGATGTGTTTCCTGTTTTTCTGTTTTTCTCTCTTTAAAGGATGGGTTTTGAACTTTTCCTGGGTTCCTCTTGTGAAGAATAGTATATAAATTTAGTGGTTGGATATGAAGACTCTCTGGATCTCAGTATGCCTCTTATTTCGGTGTGCAGGCTAGAGGCAGCATCTCCAAAAAGCTGTATATGGCCATGTGCCTCAAAACCATAAAGAGTTGTCAAAAGGCAGTATCAGCTAGTGAATCATCTTGATGACATGTTCATGTTTAAGAAGGGTGTGACTGGTATTATTCAGTTCAGAGTCTATTATCATATGTTTTTCCTCTACATACAACCGTTGTCTCAGTCTCATATGATACCACCCATGCAGAAGTCTGGGTGCAGAAGTTTTGATAAAACAGGGTGAGGTGTCACTTACGCGTCAGTGATGTACGTCAGCTCACACAAGTGATCTTTCAGTGGAAAGCGAGAGTTTCACTCAATGAGGAAGAGGTGGAGTTACTGCTTTGGCTTTTACCCACAGAAGAAACAGTTTTTTTTTTTGCAGAATCTCAATCAAGTAGCATCAGTTTATATACATTTCAATAAGAATCTGTGAAATGCTTCACATTAAGAGTTATCCATTATTCGCACTCTTAAAGGGGAATGCCACAGATTTCTAAAATATCTGTATAATTGAATTATAATAACAAAGTTATCCAGAGTGGTTTGTTGTGAAATGCTCTACTCTAGAGAAACGTATAGGGTCAGAATTGTTCACAGTGGTGTTGATAGGAGCCAGATATCTAAAGTGTTCAAAACCTCTAAAAGCTCCTGCAGAAAAAGTTATTACATGAAATAATTACAGAAATGCTGCCTGGTACGTGAGACATTTCGTTTTTGTTCAGTTTAAGATAATGTTTTGGCCTGAAACGTTTATTTTTTAATCTAGTAATGGTGGAGGTACATGCAGGTTGTTTTTAAGGAAAAATAGTACCCAAATAAGCATTTTTTCCCCGGATTTACCATTCTCATTTTACCATTATCAACATTACATATAAAAAACCCCGAAGACATATAATTTCACTCATCATTTTGGATTGTAAATAAAATGGCCATGTTTGCGTTGTAGACATCATGACCCCAAGTTCCTATCACCACCACAGTAAAAAAATCAGTGAGTTTCTGTACAATGCAGTTTGTACATTAAGCCACTCTGAGTTACTGTGTTTACATTTCAACAATTTATTTATGAAGATCATTTTGAAAAATCAGTATAATTCCTCTTTAAATACAGGTTACAATTTGGTTCTTCGCTTCAACCTACAGTTCTAGGAAAAACCTTTACATTTTGAAGAGTGGTTCTTTAAAGAACCATCCATTGAAAAGCTCATTAGGGACATCTACAAGTGGTCTTCTGTTGAAACTCTTTTTGCCACCATTATTTCCTAATTTTTTGCAGGACTGAAAACTGTGCTATGCTAAGAGAGAACTTTACTATACCATGACTGTGATCACCGCGTTAGTTTTGGTTGATCCTACAGAGATTCCCAGTGGTTGTATGATGTATTTTGCGTAATTAATGCTGGGTATTTTAGCAAGAGACATGGAAACAATGTAAAACCATGAATTCTGTTAAAACAGTGAATGAGGCTGAAGGATATAAAGCTGCACTGCAGAATACCTAACGTCACCACAATAAACATATTAAACTCTAGTTTTACGCTGGAAATATCACAGGCTAGGAGGTAAATACATATGTGAGCATTTACTGGCCTGATTGTGCAGGTCCCTGACTATAGATGTGGCTGTAGCATGAGGCTCACAGCAGGAGAAGGCTACTGATATATCGCATCTGACTTAATATTGTAGACCATGTTAGTGAGGAACTAGAATCCAGTCTCATAAATATTTGCCTTGTAAACGGAAGTAAAAGCGGTGTAATATAAATATTCCATTGTCCTAAATAATGCAGAGATACTGTCTGGCTGCAGATAATCATTAAGTCCTTCCCCTTTGAGACTTGACTGATCTTGTCATGTAAACATTATCTTGTCAGCATTTCAGATTAAATCAACCTTTTTCTCGCCCGTCAGTGGAATGTGTAGGGCTGCACAAAGTACTGGTTGTTAATCATTATCGCAATAATTATCTTTGCAGTAATGATACTGTCGAGGCTTGCACTGTGTAAAAAGCCTTCACACGAATCACCATTTTTGTTACTGTATGATCTGACTAATAACATTTCCACAGTTTCTGTATATATAAATAAATAAATAGCCAAAAGTATGTGGACACCCAGCCAGCACACCTATATGAGCTTGTTGGACATCCCTTTCCAAAAACAAAGAGAATTAATGTAAGTGTGTGTCTGTGGGTATTTGTGCCTACTCAGTCAAAAGAGTATTTATGAGGTCAGGCAGTGATGTAGGGCAAAAGGCCTTGTTCATAGTTGATGTTCCAATTCATCTCAAAGGTGTTGAATGGGGTTGAGAGTCTCCACAGTCTAGTGGCACCATGCTTTACACCACTACAGCTGACATTTGGCATTGCGCATAGTGATCTTAGGCTTGTGTGCAGCTATGTGCAGCCATGGAAATTCATTTCATGAAGCTTCTGACTCATAATTCTTGTGCTAGTGTTGTTTCCAGAGGCAGTTTGCAACTCCTATGGTAAATGATGCAACTAAATTTTTTTTTCTTTGCTCTGCGCTTCAGCAGCCCCATTCTTTTTGTGTCGTCGAGTTTGTGTCGTCTGCCACTTCGTGGCTGAGCTGTTGTTGCTTCTAGACACTTCCATTTCACAATAATAGCACTTATAGTTGACAGATGTAGCAGGACAGAAATTTCATGAACTGACTTGTAGCAAAGTTGGCATCCTATAACAAGGCCACGTTTAAAGTTGAGTTCTTCAGTATGACCCATTCTACCGCCAGTGTTCGTCTATAGATATCATATGGCTAAGTGCTTGATTTTACGTAGCCATTTGGCTGTGCGTGTGCCAAAACTTCTGAACTCAGTAATTAGGAGTGGTGTCCACACACTTTTGGATGTCTTCATACTTTGATTGTGTGTATATGTGAGATCACTGGTGAGCCACCCACTTCAGCAGAGAGGAAAGCTTAATTAGTGAAATCATATTATAGTGCAGAGGTGGAAGAACACCTGTAGACCCTGCAGCTCTGTAAGGTTGCAGCTGAGCACCTTTTCACTACTGTATCAGTGTCTACATGTTGTCTGTACTCAGTAACCCCGGCTGATACTGCCACAGGCCGAGACACCTGCCAAACGGCAACACTGTTGCTCAGCAACAAGCATAGGCAGAGAATTAATCTGCTCTGAGTTACCTCACTTTCTTTGGGTTGAAGAGTGCTTTGTTTTCTCACTGTGCATCTCCCTCTCTCTCTCTGCATCTCTCTCTCTCTCTCTCTCTCTGCATCTCTCTCTCTCTCCCTCTCTCTCTCTCTCTGCATCTCTCTGTGTTCTGTACTAGAAATCTGTAGATCTATGATACAGAATATACTTTTTTCTTTCAAAAGAAAACCTCTTAACCCCTATGTATGCAAATGTTGGACATGCTTGCAGTCTTGAATTTGTTTTTTTTACAGTTATGTAATTCACAAAAATACGGATGGAATAGAACAAAATTATGGATGGAATGACAAATAAACTTGAAACTTGAACTTGAAACATAGCTAAATCTTGGCTAGAAGTTTTATTTAAAACTATAAAAAAACAATATAATGGTAATTTTGGATTGTTGCCTGTAGTGTTGACAAACAAACAAGCAGAATACAATATTGGGATTTCTTTCTTCTGTAATTGTGCACATATTCAAAGCAGTGACTCGTCTTTTTCAGTACTGTTCATGTGCTGTTGTGTTTACCGCAGACTCTTTATTTTTTCCAGGGTGTTTTAAGGATGACAGGATTGTGTTCTGGACGTGGATGTTCTCTACATACTTTATGGAGAAATGGGCTCCACGTCAGGATGACATGCTCTTCTATGTGCGGCGGAAGCTCTCTTATGTCAGTGCAGACAACACAGAAGGAAAAAAGGTAAGAGAAACCTCCTCACTGCCCTCTACCGCCTGCTTAAACACAGTACACAACCTCAACAATCTCAGTCCGGTCTTCAGGGACCCCCAGACTGTTCACATTTTTCCTCACTTTGTGTTGTGAGTTGAGTTAGAGCAAAAATCTGAACCGTCTGGAAGTCCGTGAAGACCAACGTCCACGACGTTTTGTGGATTTCAGTGTGAGAAAAAGTTAAAACATCCTCTACATACTTCTGCACATTTTAATACACAATTACTGTTAATTTGCTGATTTAACATATATTTAGCACACACACACACAAATATTTATATATATATATATATATATATATATATATATATATATATATATATCAGTTTGCATTGCTTTCCATGTACTTACGAAATAATACGCTTTAGGGTGTCATAAGCTTGCAGTTGTACGAGCTTAAACAAATCAAGAAATCACATTCATTACGATTCTCTAGTTCAAGAACTCAAAGTATGTAATTCTGGGACAACAGGACAAACTCATTTACAACAGCAGGTGTTTTGACGCGTCTTGAAGGTCAGGTCAGATTCACTGGTCTGATCATCATGGAGAAACTCTTCACAGAGACAAAACTCTTCCAAGATCTCCAGTTCAGTCCAGGTTGGGAATCTGTCCCCCATGTGTAGATTCCGTTTGGGTTGGACGAGTAGCAAGAGTTGTACCAGTATGCTCCAAAATAGGAAACAGCACAGTTGCCTTCATATGAATCCTGATCTTTGTCAAAGGTGGAGAACTTTGATCCACTGTGGTAAGATAATGAATCCCCTACAAAGCACATGGATGATGCATGAATTAGGGCTGCACAGATACTCTCATATTAATCAGTATCACGCCTTTATATCCTTATAGTACCTATCACAAAAGGACATGGTTAATACATGGTTAATATGATGTAACTGACGGTTAAAATGAAGCATTTGTGGAGTAACGCTTTTAGTGAACCTTCCTTCAAAACATTCACATAACCATGACTTGAACATCACGGCAGATGTCATATGTTTTCATGAGTTGTCATGATAGATTTTGTTCAGTAATATAACTGTGTCAGGCAGTTGTTGTGACAGATGTCATAATGTTTGATTTTATGACAAATATAATATTTGATGTCTTGACAACTGGAGAAAATATCTAATTTTTTGGACTAAAATTGCAACTGCGATTTTAATTGTGATTATTTCCTATAAATAGTGGTTCAGACCTTTTTTTTGTCCAAGAAGACCAGAATATACACATTTTCTGGATTAAAGCTTGACACATTAATGTAGTGAGCTAGAAAGCCAGTAAGTTGTGGCATCACAACACATGGAGGTTTTATTGTCTTTTTGGTCTAACTCTACAGGCAGTATACAACTCTGTTATTGCCTTAAATTTCCCTCTTAAAACTTAAGACAATGTTTTTAATAATGTAGGCTATAATTTTAAAAAATTGCAGCTCTTGCGATTTGAAAATTGCACTCTCTTAAATTGCGTTTTCGATATAAAAATCTTTGACCCTTAATGACGACTAACACACAGCAAAAATGATCATGTAACACAAGCTGTCATGACGACTCATGACAGCATATCACATCTGCCATTACAGGTTCATGGCATGATTCTTATTGTAATGTAGCAGCGTTTAAACAAAGTGTTCTACAAACGTGATCTGAAGTCTTATGACATACCTGCGCCTCCATCTTGAAAACCATCTACATGAAGTTTGTAGCCATCCAACTCTGCATTAACAGCCATGGGAGAGATACCGAAGGATGTGTATTTAGCATAAACCTTGTTTCCTTCAAAGTCCTCCATATCCACCCTCAGCTCATAGTTCTTCTTCAGGGTAAGAAGATGGATTGTTTCAAGTCCTGTAAACAAAAACAAAAAGATGATATAAACAGAAAGCATTTCTGCTGGGCTTCATGAAAGCTGCAGGACAAAAATGAAACTCAGCAAGTCAGTGACTGACTGACTGCAAAAATGTTGATTCAAGTGTAATTCTTATTATTGTAGGGCCAAAACATGGACTATCTTACCCAGCCAGTATTCTCCAGCTGCATGCCCAAACCCATTCTTGTAGTGATCCCATCCTCTGTAGAAGTTCACTGTACCATCCATTCTTCTCTGGAACACCTGGCAGAAAGATCTAAAATTATTCATAATTATTGATCAAATAGAAAAAAGCATAGTGCTACAAAACGTATTTTGCCGCCTGAACCACTGTCCCATGTCTTACTTGGAAATGTTTATAAATGTTCCATTTTAAGCTCCAGAACCATCTTTAGTGAAGTGATTTCCTCTCATTGTTTTTCCTTGCACTGGCTATTAGACTGAGTTAACGTGTTTCTTGCTCTCACAGTATCCACAGTAAAAGGTGCATTACCAGTCCAATCATCAACTAATAATCCATAACTACTCACAGTCCATTTTCCTCCATCAGTCTCCATGTCACAGTATACATAGCGGCCAGAGTTGGGTCCGGTAGGATAGATCAGATACACTCCACTTGTCAAAGAACTGTCGTTATAAATATCTGCACAGTCTAAAGGCTGGAACATTAGGCTTTTAGACTGGACCAGCATGGACATCCATAAGATCCCCAGTATCATCTGGTTGAACAAATGGTAGACATCATTCCGTGAAACAAGAAAAGTGCAAAATTATTCAGTTCTAATTGAGGGTTTTGGTTCAATATAATGGGCCTCATTCACCAATATCTTACTAGGTTTTTTCCTAAATTTGTTCTTGAGAAAGGTGCTAAGAAAAACTCTGTGTCAGATTCATGACGTGTTCTTGATCCACAGAACTGTTCGCACCTTTGTGCTCTTGAGTGTGTGTAGGTCCTGTTCTTACCTAAGAACAAATCCCAAATAAGAAAACACTGGTAAATGTCAGAATCTTCGTGAAAACTGTGTAAGTGTGTTTTAAGAAGAAATTTCTTCCAAAGAACGCTTGGTGAATGAGGTCCAATGTTCTTCCATTGTGTTCAGTTTGGCAGGTTTGGTTTGAATAAAATGAACCCTGGTGCAATTGCTCTCTTAGTTTGGTTCATTAGAGTGAAGAATGCTGCTATTCAGACTCTGGTGCACATCAAATAAGTGGACCAAGACTCCCTGAGGAGGTTGCTCCTAGTCCATATCCACATGAACTCTAGTGCGTTTGGCTAAAATACAAACGCAAAGTGGTTCAAAGATGTCTATACAGACTAGGCGTGTGTCAATATAAAAAATATTATCACGATAATCAACTAATGTCTTAGCATGGTTTACAGTATTTTCACAAATATTGCATTTAAAAAAACTAAAAAAAAAAAACTATATTTTTTGTCACAAATTGCTGTTTGTGATACAGGCATGGGTTCGATTTTCAGTTCAAAACCAGCATTGAACAATGGGAAAATGGGTCAGTTCTTGTTTTTGGTTCTGTTATTGTCAGTGGAAAAATCAAGAAATAGCTTCGTTTTACAGTTTCATAAACTAATCATAAAATCAAATAACAGTGGAATAAAGGGTCTTATCGTATTTATCTAAATAAAAAAAAAGTGCAGAGTGCACACATGATCTCAGAAGCTCTCAGAAGTCTTAGAGGCATATGGACACAACGGATTGCACTTGTGAGCTCGGCTGTTTCTGTGTGTAAATAACAGTTAATTCTTACGTTTCCTTCATAGCAAACAGCACAACAGGACCTAGAGTCTCTCAGTGAGAGTTTAGTTTAATGTAATGGAGGCGCTGCTTTTAGTCATAATGATGAGTGTCTTGGGGAAGAAGGAGAAGGAGACGCAGAAGACGCTACAGAATAACACAATAACACATACATATATTTTAGACTAACAGAATAACTACATTAATAACATTAAACCACAACGTCAGCCCCTTTTAAAAGGGGCGGAGCCCGAAACGCGGCTTCTCATAACGTGCCTCTAAAGCTTCTTGCCAAAACCGGAGCCACTGGCAGCTGCCACAGTATTATAGGAACAATATGAACACAGGACAACTCACAGCTTTAATTGTTAAGTCTGGAGCTGTAACACAGTCACTATAAGGAAGTTCACATCCGACGACAAAACATTACAGTATTAATTTTTCTCATCTTTATTGGGCAGAGTGACTTTCATTTCTCTTTGATTTCGCTGTTAAATGGCAGGAGTCCTGTAGAGTCTCTTCCCCATATCACTTCAGTTTTTTGCTGATGGAATAGCTACATTAGACATACAAACACCTATAAAAATGTCATAAAGTCTCCCAAAATGCCGGGATCTGTCTTTATCATTTTTTGCCACCTGATTTCTGAGCTTCTGTGACCATATGTGCCCTCTGCACATTTATTTCCTTTTTAAGTGATAGAAAACTTTAAATCTGGATAAATTGATTTTTCTACTGACGATAACAGAACCAAAAACGAGAACTGACCCATTTTCCCGTTTTTCAATACTGGTTTTGAAATGAAAATTGAATGGCCAAAAGATACACGGACCCAGGCATACATGTATTTGTGAGATTAAACTTTCTTCTCCAAACTGTGTGGCATGTGAGCTTTCACCTTTCTGAGCTGGTGAAAGCAGACCTGGTCTTCATGTCTAAAAATCTCTGGTGAAACTTGTTTGACTAAATTGCAGTGATGGTATTTCAAAGTGTCCACAAAACACATTAATTACTGTGCATCTTTAAAATCGCAACATACAGAATTACTGAATATTGGCACGAACACATAATGAACCATGAATTCAACATAACCCACATAAAATGTACAAGCTCAGTTAGGTCAGGCGCCTCTGAAAGTTCACCAAATGTACACCAGAAACTCTACTCAATCAGTTATAAACGTTCTCCATATGGCTTTTGCCTACATCTTTTGGATCAGTGTCAAACATATCAGTGTAAACGCTGTTTTCTGCTTTAGCCAGAACAAGAGCATGAAGCTGCAGATATAAACACCCCCTAAGACTTTGAGATTTGTCAAAGTGCATAGTCAGAAAGCAGTGCACAACTGGACTTATTCGACTCCGTCAAGGCTGTACAGCAACTATGCTACTGAACTTTGCAACATGCTAGTTGGCAGCTGTGCACTATTTTACAAACTTGAGAAGTCTATACTTTACGTTGTAGTATGAAATAAGCCTCACCTTCATTGTTGTAGCTGATCACAGAGCCTCTTGTGAAGACCAAAGATTTTACTTTGTGTGTCTTATCTTGGTTCATAAGCAGTGACTTATCAGAGCCATGTGATAACATTCCCTTCAGCTTAGGCAATATTTACTGTCAGTTTGCCAAATATTGTGCAACTTTTTTTTTTTCCATCTTGCTCATGTTCAGGATTTCCCATTTTCACCACTGAATTAGCAACACACAGTAGTAACACGTGCACTTCTGAAACCTAACTGTAAAATAATAAATCAGAAGATTACATTTTGCCACACGGGTTCCAAATTATGTTGGATTCATTTCATTAAGTCTAGTGATTTCAGGCACATTTCGAGGCACATTTCAAATGCAATGTCATCTGTACCAGAGCTGTTCCAGTAAAACTGATTTTTTAATACATCAATCAGTTTCATAAGTCACAGTCCTCTTCTGGGTCTTTAGTAATCTTTTTATCTCATGTGGAGAATCATTCTAATGGTGCAATTATAAGATTTCATTACAGCATATCCACAGTGTTCTGAAATCTGATTAGTGAGTAAGAGTGACACATTGCACATTGTCTTGTCTTTTTCTTCTTCTAGCCCAATAATAGCCAAATGAAAGACTTTTTCTTTCCTCAGATAATGTTCATCCTTTTTTATGTCTGCCTAACGTATGTCTTGTTTTATTTCTGCCTAATATGTGTAGGTTTATGTGCAATCATATGTTTTGCTGCTGTAACACTGCAATTTCTCTTCGGGATCAATAAAGATCTATCTACCCACCTACCTACCTACCTACCCAACTAACCAACACACCAACCCACCCACCCAGTATTTTCAGTATTTAGTGTGTTCACCCTTTGCCTTTATTATATCTTCCATACCTTTCGGAAGACTTGCTTTCTGTTTTTCAAGGAAATCTGCAGAGATATTTTTCCACACCTGCAAAGTTCAGTCTTAGAAGTTGGTTGCATTTTCTCCTTCTTGCGTTCCATTACATTTTGCCGCACGGCAAATTTAGACTCATCAGTCCGTAAAACCTTACTGCACATTTCACATGTTCAGTTTGTGTTCTTGTGCAAATGTCCTTTTTTTGTCTATTTCCCTTTTCTCAGTAAAGGCTTCTTGCCAGCTACACATCCTTTCAGACTCATAGTGTTGAGTTGTCTTCTCACAGTGGAAGGATGAACAGAAACACTTGTAGATTTTTTCACATCTAAAGCAGGAGTGGAGCTTGTTTTTCTCCTCTCTCTTAAAGATGAAAGCTTGAAGGGCTGTTAAACTGAGGGTGACAGTAGTGGTGTACCAGGTCTTTCATGCTTGTTAGGACATTTTCGTCATTTTTTTGAACTCCAGAGTTCAAAAAGCGGATTATCTTGGCTTGTACTTATTGGCCAAGTAGTAGTAGATTTTAAAATGCACATTATCATGCTGATTGCCAACTAGTAACTAAATTAATTCATTCATTCTTTTTGAATCAGGTAGTTGTGACAGACCTGGCTTTATTTCTCCAAACTCTCTTCAAAATGATGACCTAGGCTGTTTAGTTACAGCATTGCATTGTTTGCTTTGCGTAGCATTGCTTCTCTTAAAGCATTCCTTCGCTAGCACGTTAGCGTATCGATCCTTCTCCTTTCTTTTGGCACTAATCAAATGTCAAAGCAATCTCAATGCAAGTGATGTCATTTATATGACGTGAGTGAAAGCGCTCGGTCAATGCTGAACGTTCGCCCTCAACAGCACAGATTGATCTCTTCTGACAGCTTCGCGCTGCTGCAGCTTTGGCTTGTTTTGCAGCCTTGAGAGCACAGATTATTCAATTAACTGAAAGACAACGTGGAAGCAAGAGATGCACTTGCTTTGTCCTTTTCTATGACCCGTCTCAGCTGTGCACTCTTTCTCCATTTCTTTGTCCTTTTTATTATCAGCATACTCTCTCCAGCTCTCTCTCTCTCTCTCTCTATGTGTGTCTGCATTTGCATTTAAATTAAATGGAGCATGGAGGAGCATTAATGAAGTTCATCCTGTCTGTCTGTCTCTTTTACTTCTCTGATTCAATGGAAATTTCTTTCACAGATTTAATGAGTCTGTGTTTGTAGAAAGACTGCCAGGTGCATTCTGACAATGAAGCCCATGCTTTCATTTTAGTGAAAAAGTCTAATCCAGAGTTGGAGAGACGCATCTAGGGCTGCAAACTATACCATTTGTTGATCGTTATTGTAATTCTGGCCTTTGAGATCCTGATGTCATAGTGGGATGCTAATGTTATGCTAATGAGCCCTGTAACAAATTACTCAATGTGATGTCCAAGGGATGTCCAGATCCTGATCTCCTGGCCAGTTCGGGCATATTTTAATGAATTGGGTATTGGCTGTATTAAAGGGGAGTTTCACCAGTTTTAACAAAATTCTGCATAATTAACCCTCTACTGCATGAATTATAACTTAAACATGATAAAATGTTTAATGTGTTTTTGTTATTTGACATTGCTTAAATAATGGAAAAAAATACATTTATTTCTAAAACTTCTGTGGGTTACTTGGTAAATTGTTGCCATTTGGCAACAATGTGCAATCGTACCATAGCACCATAAAATCTAAAAGCACCATAAAATTTAATTTTTCTCTAAAAACATCCTTTTATCCTTTTATTGAAAACAAGAACAAACAAATCCAATGTATACTTAGTGAAATGTACGACCCAGTATTTAGAAGTATTGGAAATTTCAGTTGGTATTTGGAATGTATGGCAATAACAATGTCATAATAAAAATTCCTGGTCATGTGATGTCATGAAATATTTGTCCTTTCAAAGTAAACGACACTTTTTCCACAATTAAATAAGAAAACACAAATTTACATACAATACATAACTGCTTTTTAGTAAAAGTAAGATAAAGTAATTGTTGCCATTTGCCAACACCGTGCAGTAGAGGGTTAAATGGTTAAGATGTAAACAAAGTAGTTTGATGTAAAATGCGCCTTTCTAGAGAAACTTGGCGAGTCAGAATTGTTCACAGTGTTGTTGAAAGGAACCAAACGTCTGAAAAGTTTAGTGCCTCTAAAAGCTATCTCTTGAAATAGTTATGAATACGCTGCCTGTCTGAGACATTGCTATGAGAAGGATTTGGCTGAAAAACAACAGATTTCTCAAAATCCATTCATGATGGAGACATACATGCGGGGTGTTATAAGGCAAAATAGTCTCCAAAGAAAACTTTTTTTTTTTTTCCAAATTTATCACTTTTTTACCATCATCAATATTACATATAAAAACTCAGAAGACCATCACTGGTTATTTTGGATAGTAAATAAAATGGCTATATTTGCATTGTAAGTGTTTTGTAAGTGCCTTGAGAACATCACTAACTGGACGGGACAAAACTTTCTGCAGTTGAATAAAGATAAAACAGAGATTATTTCATTTGGGAATAGAAATGAGAGGCACAGCCAAGCTGCCTATCTGGGTTCAAGAGCCCTAAAATCTAAAGAACTAGCACATGACCTTGGTGTACTAATGGACTCTGATCTCAGGTTTAGCATTCAGGTTATAGCAGTTACTAAATCATCTTTTAATCCCTTAAAAACCTTAAAAACATCAACAAGTTAAGAGATTTTCTGACTAAAGCAGACCTGGAGAAACTCATCCACACCTTATTTCTAGCAGGATTGATTGCTATAATGGTCTCCTAACTGGACTCCCAAAAAAGACAATCAAACGGCTTCAGATGATTCAAAATGTGGCTGCCAGTAAAAGAAGGCAACACCTCACCTCCATTCTTAGATCCTTACACTGGTTACCAATTTTTTACAGTACAGACTTTAAGATAAGAGAAGATAATGCTTTATTAGTCCCTATTAGTGGAACTAATAGTAATTTAAGATACTATCACTGGTCTATAAATGACTTAATGCTGTAGGATCAGCATGTTTATTTCATGTACTGCAGTGATATGAGCCAAGCAGAACTCTCAGATCTTTAGGAACTAGTCGGTCAGTCCTGCCGAAGGTAAGGACTAAACATGGAGAAGCAGCGGTTAGTTACTGTGCTGCTCTTCAATGGAGCCAGTTGACAGAGAGTATTAGAAGAATCCTGACACTGGACACTTCTAAATCCAGGCTCAAAACACTTCTATTTGAGCTAGATTTTAGCTCCTTGTAAAACACTGTTAACATTTCTAGCCCTTCTCCTCTGTAACAGCGCTTAATTATCTTAATTTAATTTTTAATTTTTAACTTGATTTTTAACTATCCTAATTCATTTTCTAATTTGATTTTTAATTTAATGATTTTCTCTTTTAAACCTATTGTTTTAATCATGTTTTTTAATTTCTATTCTCCTTTACTTTTTAAACAACTGTGTTTTCTCATTTGTAAAGCACTTTAAATGACAGCAGTGTATGAAAGGTGCTATATAAATAAACTTGCCTTGCCTTCTATACGTCATAGTTCCTATCACCACCACTGTAAAGGAATCTGAGTCTGTACATTTTTTTACAATGAACAAATCATCAAACCACCACGAATGGCTGTTTACATCTTAACCACTGAATTATAGACATTTAGAAAAATCAATGGAATTTCCCTTCCATTTGATTAGAAAAGCCAGATCCTTTTGTTTCTTGTTTTTTGTTCTGCTTTACCAGCTGTGCCTCGCCACTTCTGGTTTTAAACACCATACAAACAAGACATTCAAAACCAAGAGATATGAACAGGTTATTGCACGCCTGTTACAGCAGGATAGAATTACAGTGTATTCTGTCATTTCACATAAATAGTCCACAAGTTCAGACTATAAACCAATATGAATGTATCAAAAATGAAGTGATTTTACTGCAGAATGTTAAAGGAACCAAATCATCAGATAGGTAAAATGATGATATGCCTCTATTAAACACAATATAAAATGATCATGAAAAAAAGGAGACAAAAAGCAAAGCATGTCAGTCCAGAATGTCACATTATGCATAGATTCAAAAAAAGCAACTGTACTAGTAGCCTAGCATATCTTAGCTAAATAATGTGGCGCTTTTATCTGTGAAAACCAGGAATATGCATTTCCACTGTTATTAATATTTGGGGATCCAAGGCCTAATGAACAGATGATTGGTTAACTGCAAGAAACATGGCATTTTCTCATGAGTGGATGATGCATCAACATGTTTGGTAGTTTGTCAGAGAAGTACATTTTCACTGTTTGTAAATCTAGCTGACATCCGCTAGTGTAGTTAGCCTAGTTGTCATTCCTGTTGTTCATATGTATATTTTCTTTGTCTTTCCGTGAAAAAACGAAACAAATCCTTTAATAGTGATTTCAGTATTTGAATGGCACTGTGAACAGATAACGGAGTACCTGTAATCATTGTAAGGCCAGAAGGCCTCATACAGTCACCTCAAATTGCAAAAATCCAAAGATTGCAGTGTTTTAGCTAGTGAAAAGGCAACGCTACTAGCAGTATGAGACAACTATCAGTCCCATCATCATATTATGGTCAACAAATGCCACATTGTGTATTCATGCCATCACCTTATTTTCCCTCTGAGAAAAGGTAAAGCCTCCATGGCAACCACAGAATAAAAGAAACATATAAATAATTCCTAATGCTTACTGCCACAGCCATTGTTTGATGCTGACATTTCACAGCCTCTAGTAGTGTCGCTTCGAGGTACATTACACAGAGACACAAATTCACGTAGCTTAAAATAAGAAGAACAAAGAAATGAGAACATGAAGTAGAAGAGGTGTAGACTGCTACTCTGCAAGGGCACAGACCCATCAGAGCTGAGTACATTATCTCACACTCCAAACACTGTGGGCCTCAATTTTTCACGACTCAGTCAGAGGGAATTGGTCCAATCACTGCAGACAGGCAGGAAGGGCTCCGAGTCTCACGCTGCGGCTATCGCCAGGCCCTTAACAAGGGCCAATGAAGGACGTGCCGTACTCTGAAGCCTTATTTCAGAGAAGCCCAGTCTTCTCTGTCCTCAGCCAGAGGCACAGCTGCAAACAAATGAGAAAATGCCACAGTGACAAGGCACCTCTTATCTGATGCCTGCTTCAATTACACTGGAAAGGATCTTGCTTTTTTCGCATTCACCGTGCCTCTTTGGTCCGTGTTCTCCAAACTGGAATTTTTTTTGTACGGGAAGAATGCTCAGTGAGCATAAAAGACACTTAGAGGAAAGCATTTCTGCAAAAAAGACCTCTCCCTGCCCTGCCCAGAAATGTGGTCACAGTTTTTGCGAGGTTGGATGAGCTTTACAGAACGTTGGCAAAAATCCTGTTCAATCTTGTGAATTTAGGTGGGAGTTTAGATTCGCTACAAAAGTTCAATTTCTAGTTAAAAATACTATCCTAATAAGTGTGTTTACATGCACTTAATAATCTGTCATTAATTTGTTTTTGTCATTAAAACACATTTTTATGCATTTGAGTGATCAGATAATGGGAGAGCTCCACGCAAGTCATGCAATAATTGGATGTTTGCTTTGCAGCCAGCCAATAAACTCACAGAAGAAGAAGGATGTGATGTAAAATTCAAACTTCATGATGTGGCTTCTTTTATTTATTGAATGAAGAGAACTGATGAAAAATCTGAAAAATAATTGGTAATTAACCAAAATCGAAACCATTAAGAACTCCACCCTGCTACAATATTTACATTTTATATATTTATATTTAGTTTATATTATTTAAAACTTGTTTCTGCTGTTTATGTGAGTTTACAAAGTGTGACAACTGAAGCTGACTATCATCTCAGTCAGCAAAACACTGATCAACTAAAACTACTGGAGTATAAAATTAAATGTTTACAGTGTAAATTTACATCAACTGATATTATCAGTTATCTGAATTTTATGCCCTTTTAAAATGGATATCGACCATGAAACCATTTTAGAAGATTTAAAAAACGAAGCCCTGAATTGAGTGATTGCACTGTGACTCTCGGCTTCAAAGACAGTGTTACTCCCATTAAGAGTGCCATTAATCTGTGTAGAAATCCAGGCTACTATATGAATACTAAAAGACACCACGTCAGTGACTATTAAAATAGCATAAAATAATCAGTTTTAAACACTGTAATTGGGGTGTAAGACTCATAAATGGTCCATATGAAATGCCTTACTATTAGAAATATGAGTGCTGTTTGTTAAAGCATAGTGCCACTGCCTCATGCATACACTGCATACTGCTTACAACTCTAATTTAGCCCTGCTTGCTGTGGCTAGTGGTAAAGGTTAAGGTTACCCCAGGTGGTTGACCCCCGATCTTCTCAACATACATCACCGTTCACCTCTCTTCTAGTAACCATGACAACCTCTAAGGGCCTAATGTGCATTATTGCTTTCCCCTTCATCTCCTGTGTTTCCTCAGGCAGCAGAGAGATGGAGGCTCCTAATACGGGTTAGATCAGAGCAGGACTAAAGCCATTTGTGTGTGTATATATATATATATATATATATATATATAAAATAAATAATAATAATTGCATTTTTAAAGATTTGTGGTATGCTGAGTACTGCATTACTTTTGATTACTGTCTCTATCTTTTCAAGTGTACTCTTTTATTTCTCTTTATTTTTTTTTTCTGAAACAAACAAACTTGTGAAGTAGACAGCAATACTAACTTAATGTTCTTAAAACCAGCACAGATTATTGCCACCACAGCACAATTTTGTGGACTAAGAAAATAGAAGATTTTGGAATTCTGTTTGGTACCCAGCCCTAATACCTTACTAAACCTTACTAAACTACCTTACTAAAGCTTACTATTAGGGCTGAGCATCGTTAAAAGAATCAATATGAATAATCAGGGCTTGATATGGAGGAGGACGCAAGGGAATGCAATTCCTGTAATTTAAAAAAATTACAAAACCACCCCTCCCCTTGTAAAAAGACTTACCATCCCCGTTGGGTTAAATTGATATGACTTAATATATCTATTGTCATTATTTTCTTTTCATCTATATTTTTAAAATCCTTAGGATTTTCACACTACAAGAGTTCTTCATGTAAAGCAAACAAGCAAACAGAAGCAAAACAAAGCAAACAGAAGATGTGCTTATGTAGTATGAATTTTTCACTGGCCGTACTGTGGAGTGTTTGGTATAGTGTGTGCACCCACCAAACTGGGCTAGTTTGAAAATGCTGTTGAATGAGAAAATCATAATGTTTCAGCTTCAGGTATTATTTTTTGCAACCAAACCACTGCCAATTATATGTTTGTTTGTGTCTCTCTCTCTCTCTCTCTATATATCTATATATATATATGTATATATATATATATATACCTATACCTGGAGAGAGAGAGAGAGAGAGAGACAGAGACAGACACGGGTCAAATTACATTCTAAGTGAAAATAAGTTAACACATCCTCTACAGTGAACACACTTCTGCACATTTTACTGCACAATTAGCGTCTATTTGCTGAATTTAACATATTGGAAGAAATATATATATTTTTTCATATATATTATATATGAGATATACAATATATTAAACTCAGCAAATAAATAAAAATTGTGCACTAAACTTTGCAGAAAATGTTGAAGTTTTACTTTAGTGTGTTCCCTGAAGAGGATGTGTTCATTACTGAGGATGTATTAACTTATTTTCACTTAGAAAATCAACAAAACATGTCAGCTGACCAGGGGTGTTCAGACTTTTGTTTGTATAATATATATTGCTGTATAGTGTATGTTGTTGTATATTGCTTAAACATATATGTTCTATTTGAAAATTACAAAAAAAAATATTACACACAAAAAATTGAATCTCTTTTCTAAGAACTAAAATTACAGGACACACACAGATCTTGCACAGAATTTAAGAAGCACTTACATTAATAACATGCTCAGAGTATATAATTCAGACAGCCAGTCATCAGTCTAGATTTATCATGCCTAATGGTTCAGTGACACTGCTAAGGCTGACCACTCGGGTATTGAAATTTAGTACTAAATGTTTTGATGCTTGGTATTATTGAAGTAATTCGGAACAGTACTGTAAATGTATTGAATTTTATTACCCAAGCCCTACTTATTACACTTGTTACAACATCAGTATTCGGGCCTCCATGTGTCTTTTACCACTTTTTCACCCAAAACATCTCAGTACTGTATAGTATAGGAAGTTTCTTCCCATCTGTAGTAGGCAGAGAGAAATGGATTCTGTAATACACACACAAAAGAACAAAAAAGAACAGTACGTACTGTCAGTAATCACACAGTTGGCTCAGTCTCAATCAGCAGAGCTGTATTTCTAGTGCCATTTAAATTAGATGAAGGACTGTGCAGTTCATAAATAACTTGCTTTGCTTCCAGGTTGAACACAGGGGCCTGTCAGTGTTGCATTAGAGCATAGCAGTCCACATGCCCAAATGAATCTACATCAATCTCTCAGTCAAGGAGAACAAAGGCCTGAACTGAATACAGAGCTATTACAGAGCTATCCAGCACCATTAGAATTACAGGATAATATGAACACCAGCTATCTGTCTCTGTTCTAAAGAATTTTTGAGTTGATTGGAGTCTTATCACCTGAAACTTGAATCAGCCAGCATATGGTAGTTAAGGTGATTGAAGTGTTCAGACCTGGTGCATCAAATAGGATGTGGTTCAGGTTCTCAATAGAACAGCTTATAGATAGTGCAGCCATTTGTCTTGTTTTTATGTTCAGGTGGAGGTTGAGGTGTACAGAAGGGACTCCAAAAAGCTGCCTGGTCTGGGGGACCCTGACATAGACTGGGAGGAGAGCGTCTACCTGAACCTCATCTTACAAAAGGTGAGCTGAGGGGTATGATAGATTATTAAAGGGGCAGTCTGGCCAAAATGAACAATTTTGCCATGACTATACCTGTTGAAGACATGTCTACTCACCTCATACAGCAGTGTATGATTTTCCATAAAGACTAGAAACTCATCTGGAGTTTTGAAAAACTACAGGCACTCTGACTGGACTGTTTGTTTGTTTGCTCTTTTGTTTGTTTGTTGTTTGTTGTTTTTTATTTTTCTGTTTTTTTGCATTTGCTTGTGAATGCAGAAGAAAATCAGATGGCTAACATTATTGCTAGGAAGCGGGGTGGGCTAGTTCCCAGTGGTTGTATGGGTATCGTAGTGAAAGAACATTGATGGACGAAAACACAAAAAGATACAAAATTGTGAAATATGTCGAAATGATGAGGCTGAGGGATGCAGTGCTACAATATAGAATATCACATAATACAACAAACAGTATACACTACAGGGCCAAAACTATGTGGACACCGGACCATCACACCTATATGAGCTTGTTGGACATCCCATTCCAAATTCCATGTGGAGTTGCACCCTGCCCCTCTGCCTCTTCTGGGAAGGCTTTCCACAAGATTTCGGAGGGTGTCTATGGGAATTTGTGCAAAAGCCATTCAGTCAGAAGAGAATTTGGCATCCACTAAACCCAGATTTGTCCATCGGACTGCCAGATAGTGAAGCGTGATTCATCACTCCAGAGAACGCTTCCACGTTGGTGCTTTACACCACAAAAGCCAACACTTGGCACTGCTCATAGTGATCTTGAAGATGGGCAACTTTTACACTCTGTGCACTTCAGCACCCATCAGCCACGCTCTGTGAGTTTGTGTGGTCTTCCGCTTCGTGGCTGAGCTGTTGTTACTCCTAGATGCTTCCATTTCACAAAAGAACCACTTACAGTTGACCAGGGCAGATCTAGCAGAGCAGAAATCTCATACACTTGTGGCAAAGGTGGCATCCTATGACAGTGCCATGTTTAAAGTCACTGGGCTCTTCGGTCTGAACCATTCTACTGCCATAGCATGGCTGTGATCTCATACACCTGTTAACAATGGGTGTGGCTGAAACACCTGAACTTAATAATTAGGAATGGTGTTCATATACCTTTGGCCATATACTGTATTAAATGTTAGTATACTCTTAAAAGATGGAAAGAGGAAAAAAAAGATGCATGAAAAGGGAAAAAGAAAAGGAGAGGAAACTAATAACAAAGCAGGTTAGCTGCACTCTACAATAACAAAACTTGAGGGTTCTTTGTCACAATCTTGAAACTTTAGTTGACAGTTAATTAATATACAAATAATTGCAATTATTGATTTAATTGTCTGTTTTGTTCACATTATGCAGTTAATAAAGCACAAGTCTAAAGCAGCTAGACTGGCTTATTAGTGATCTTGCTTAGCTAGCTCTTTACTTTGCAGCTAACAAGAGATGACACACTGCACTGTAGTGTGCGTAACAAGTGTCTACCTTTACACAGTCAACCATAGCTCACATTTTTTCTCTAGAGATTGTGAAAACACTTCCCTTGAAATGTGTTATAGCACACAGTTAGTTACTCTAAGAGTTAGAACTCAGTTAGAACTAGAAAAGTTAAAAGAAAAATTTATTTTATTTCCATTTATTTGGCTCAAGCCAACTAATGAAAACGAATCCGGCTCACATTAGGCTTGTTGTGATACAGTGTGACTGTGAAATTTAGTGACTGTGGAAAATCATTGCGATTACCTCAAATATTTGCCATTATGTGAAGGTACAATTGCCATTCAAGCAAAGGTACAACACTATTAACGTATCACATTTTCTCCCTCAGCTGGACTACGTGGTCACATGTGCTGTCTGCACACGCTCAGATGCAGGAGACATCCATATCCATAAGAAGAAGTCTCAGGTAATGATTCACGAAGTTGAATATCATGGCGATGTGCCCATCTGTATCCTTGTAAACCACCAATTATCATGTAATCCTATGTGTTTTGGTCTTGCTATAACATCTACTGAAAATAAATGCGTAAGGTTTCACAAATCAATTATATGCCTGCAAACCCAAACTGATTACGAATGACAGATACAGCAGAATGCTTTGACCCCGCTCCCTGCTTGTGTTTTGCTCTGAAGATTTCTGCAAAGCTGCATTGTGACACATGTTCTAAAATGTTATAAATGTATATAAAAAGTTATATAACTACAGTTGAGCTGATTCTCACCAACTCTGTTTCTGCTGCACTTTACATTCCACAGCAAGTGTTCGCCTCTCCCAGCAAACACCCGATGGACAGCAAGGGAGAAGAGTCCAAAATGAGCTACCCAAACATCTTCTTCATGATTGACAACTTTGAGGAGGTAACCTCAAAACCCTTAGCGCCTGAATCAGCTCAGAATCTGTCAGTTCTGTAGTTTAACGCTTAAAGCTGTCACAATTATGAAATTTTAGTTGATGAGTTATTGTCATATCAGAAACTGCAGTTATTCATTTAATTGTCTGTTCTTTTTTTAATTATATGCATCTATGAATGTACAAGCCAATAATGGCAAAATTGGCTTATTAGCCATCTTGCTTCCTAGTTACGTTTACTAGCTGACACTGGTAGTACTGTACACTACACCGTTGGGTGCACATGCTCTCACACAAATATCTCAGTTATGCAGAATCATGTGTACTCAAGCGAAGCTTATAGTTTTCTTGTGAATGAAAATATAAGCCAAAAGCTCTCATTCTGCTAGCATACATGCTAAAAACATTAGAATTAGTTACATCAGCTAAAGCAAAAGCATTACTTTAAACACCAAGTTCAACATCTTTTTGTGTTTTTAAGTCCCATGATGTGTCTCAGTGAAAGAATTTACAGCTTTCTTTTATTTACATGTATTTGCCTCAACACACACAATTCACATTTCATTTGTTGCAACTTCATATTATTGAAATTTAATGTGGAAAATGATTGAGATCCTCTCAGAGGCAAATCCTCTAATTGCAAATAGCCAATTCTGTAATAATTGTGATGCTCGTCACTCATGGATTAAAAGATACATTAAACGTCCAAAAGTTTGTAGACACCAGCTTGTGTAATCGCCATAAAAAAGCATTGCCAGTAGCATTGCCCAGTGCCAAGTGTTGGCTAGAGAGGTATAAAGCCCCCAGCATTGGGCTGTGGAGCAGTGGAACTGCATTCTTGGCAGTGATGGAGCTCCATCCATTGAGTTGGAGAGGCTTTTGTGATCCGTGCATGCCCTCACTAATGCTCCTGTGGCTAAATGCACTCAAATCCTCACAGCAATGTTCCAACATTTAGTATAAAGTCTTCTCAGAAAAGTAGAGGCTGCTACTGCAACAAAGAGGGGGACAAACTCAATTTCAGGAGAAACCTGGATGAGCTGATGCCTTCAAACGTTTGAAGATGTAGTGTGGGTTAAAATGAGTTACAGTTATATGTTGATTGTTTTTAGGAGCATCAGGCCAGACGTTACTGAATAAAACTCTTCACCTGGATTTTGTTGCTATGGTAATAGGCACAGCTTAAATTAGCATGCGTAACCTCTGCGAACCTCTAATTCATGGTGTAACAGTAACCCCTGCACCCTGCCCTAACCCTCCAGATTCAACTCTGGCAGGGTTTGGTAATTATCTGAGTTTAATGAGGTCTCTTAATGACATGGAATACACTAAATTGTGCAGTGCAAAGGAATTCCAGGACGAGAATTGAGAGAAACCATAAAATATGAGCTGTGATTGACGGTGTTCCTTAGCAAATACTGCCCTTGGGATGAGGAGCTGATGCACTCTAGATAGCATAGTGTAATGAGGTATGACCTCACTGGATATTAGTATGTGGAGAAGCAAGCTGTTGTAGTGTAAGAGCGGTTTTATTACCAGCCAGCAGAGCAGCCGTGCTCCAAATAGCTTCACTTAGGATGGGAAATCGATGGAACTTGGCACGTTTATTGATAGACTTAGGTTAGCATTAACACTTACTTTTACAGTGACTCATCTATTTAACATGTCATCTAGAGTGGACACGTCACTGTTATAGTGCTCTGTGCTGCTTCACCTGATGTGCAGACAAATAAATGAGGTGTGCATATGACTTGCAGGTGTTCAGTGACATGACTGTTGGAGAAGGAGAGATGGTCTGTGTGGAGCTGGTGGCCAGTGACAAGAGCACTACTTTCCAGGGAGTCATCTTCCAGGGCTCCATACGTTATGAGGCCCTCAAAAAGGTCTACGACAACCGGGTAGGATATGCAAACAGGCCGACAAAAGGCCTTGTTCATACAAATATGGATATTTTTTTTTAAATATAGGGCGTGCCACAAAGCTGAAGCAGAGATTTTCTAATTTCTGCTGTACTAGCCCTCACCCTCCCAGCTTGGTTGCATTGTGTAACTATTGTTAAAAGCATATATTGAAAATCTTTAGGCCCAAACTTGGCTGAAAGGCACGGTTTAGTGCTGACACCACAAGGGGAATAAAATGTGTGGGCTATGGCTTTATTCCTGTGGTAGGACTTTGTTCCAGTTGTTCCTTCAGTTTTGCAGTTTTTCAAAAGAAAATGGCAAGATACTGTTTTTTATCAGGTTTCTGTTTATTTTATTGCAAATCTGCAAAGAAAACTTGCTCATTTATTAAAACCATTTTAAAAAGCTAGGTGTCTCCAAACATTTGACAGGCAGTATATGATCGTTTCTGGAAAAGATCTTGAGGCACTATTCCTATTTATTTTCTTGTGTGTGTTTAGGTGAGTGTGGCTGCTAAAATGGCCCAGCGCATGTCCTTTGGCTTCTACAAGTACAACAACATGGAGTTTGTGCGAATGAAGGGTCCGCAGGGGAAGGGCCATGCTGAGATGGCAGTGAGCCGAGTGCCCACGGGGGACACTTCACCCTGCGGCACTGAGGAGGACCAGGACTCACCTATGCATGAGAGGGTCAGTACAACCATAAAACACAAACATATTCACACTAATAAATCGCTCACATCACATACGATGCACAGGCCAGGAGAGACAAATGAGACTTCTTGCTCATATTGTTCCTGCTCTACCAAGAACTGTTAATTTTTTATTTTAATGAAACACTGTTAAAGGTCTAGGTAAGGCCGCAACATAAAAGAGACATCTGTGCCCTCCTGGTCCCCCAACTCACATAAATGCATACGTACATGTATGTTGCAGTGATGCAGCTGAATTTGTTTTTGTCAAATGTGCTCAGTCATGTTGTAATGATTTGGTAAGAGAAGAGGAAAAAAGAAAATGAAACTGCAGAGAAGGAAAAGAGAAAATAACAAATAAAACGGAGATTAATTTTAAGTTTAGGAAAATCAGTTTGCCTATCAAAGAAAATAAGATATGACAACTAACCTAATTTTCTAACTAAAACAGACCAGGAGAAAACCCAAGTGAATCAAAAAGATCTTTTATCCTCAACAAGTGGGTTTATGTACAAGAGTTGCATGTCTGTTCAGACTCACTAGCTCTGTGGTTACAGGATAATTCAGGGAATACTTTATTAACTACGCCAAGTATGAAAATCTCAACACTGATGCAACAAACTGTTCATATCTTGCGCAGACATTTACACAACTGGTGAGGGAACCAGGAACCCAACAGAAACCAGGTCAAAAGCAAAGCACTATCCTTCCTCCTGTTCACATTCTTTTTAAAGACAGCTCCCGTGGTGGTGACCAGTCCAGTGCATCTCCCCTCCCACTAATCTGCAGTCAATATGGAGAGAAGACTACACAAGCTACACAGAGGGAAAAAACAAATCACACTTTACTGCCCATAGATTTGTAACCACTCACACAGTCCACATATGAAAACTAAGCTGCAAAAACGGCCCGTTTTGAGTTCATCAGAGGTACATTGAACTATGAACCTGTTTACATACCTCCTCGCTCATGTTGAAGTGATGAGTGTTGTCACTGCAGACAGTCTGTAGTATAGTTATCGGAGCATTGTTGGGGAAACGCTGTGCTGTTCCTTGCTGTCCAGAACTCAAGGGTGTCATTGTTTACCCTTCAAAAAGATGCAGATATCTGTAAGAAGTGACTGGTTTATTTTTTCTGATGCCTCTTAAGAATTTCAGTCTGAACTGCTTTTTGAACAAGACCCTTTAATGTTTATTTCAGAGAACTGCTTTGATGGTGAAGTGAAATATTTCCGTGTTATTCTTTTGTGTTCTTACATTCTTTCCCGTCCTGTTCCGGCTGCAGGTAACATCGTTCAGCACCCCGCCCACACCGGAGAGAAACAGGCCCTCCTTCTTCTCCCCTTCTCTGCGCCGAAAAGTGCCCCGAAACCGCATCGCCGAGATGAAGAAATCCCATTCAGCCAACGACAGTGAGGAGTTCTTCAGGGAAGAGGATGACGAAGGTGAGGATTTTGGAGAATCAAACTGGGAAACTGAGGAGTGTATTATGCTGACTTTTGATTCCTAATACAGTTTAGTAGAGATGCTCAGATCAAAGCCCTTTATTGAATATTGACGGATACCAGTTAATGGAGTCCAATCTGGTATTTGTATTTTTGTAAGCAATACAGTGGCACAGGGCCTACTGTGTGTATGTATGTTAAACGTAGTAAAGCCAATGTAGTTTAGGTAAGATAGGCTGCATTAGAGAAAAGTGGCAGTTTTTCATCACAGCTTTCCTTTAAAGGTTTTCTTTTTTTTTTTTTAACAAAAACCGTATCAGTTTGGATGTGTTGAAGCTATCCCTATTAACACCACCTCCTGAAATACCGGCATTGCAGATATTATAAATGACTGTTGGGCTGTTTTCATTTTCCATGTTAAATAGTCCCACGCTGTGGATATTTAGACAGCTTGTTAACTTCTGAAAGCATGCTTCACTGCCGCAAATTACAGATAATATCCTTTTATGCCATCTCATAACTGTAATTGTGCAGTACAGTGGGATAAAATAGCCTTAACAAAGGATGAAAATTTGACTGGCCTTAATATAACCAGTACTTTGATCAGCTCTTGCACCATTGGATTGGATTGGGATATCCTTACAGCTTAGTTGAGATGATGTTTGTGATCAGTGAGTGCGTTTACATGCACTTATTAATCCGATAAGTGCAGAACATCAGATTTTGTCAGTAATCTGATCAACATGTTTACATGCTCTTGAGTAATCAGATAATGGGAAAACTCCGGGTTTACATGAGTTGGGCAGTAATCAGATTTCAGCTTTACAAACAGCCAATAAACTTATAGAAGACGTGATGTAAACGTAATGTAAAACTCAAACTTCATGCCGCTGATTTTTTAAAAACATCGCGCCACTAATGTCAGATGTCACTGACATAATTATAAACTGACAGTGGAATCAACCGATCATGATGGGTGAGACCAAATTTGTGAAAAAAAACACCACTCTGGGCCTTCTAGATACATCACTGACTGTAATTCAAGTTGTACATATGACACGGTGTTGATATCATATATGGTATTCTAAACCATCAATTTAAAATGACTGTCTTCAAGAATGAGTTAGCAAGCGTACATCCTTTCACTAATGCTTGTGTTTACATAGACCTGTGCAACACCACAAACCTGCGCTCGCGCTCTCTGTCGGGGACAGGCCGCTCGCTGGTGGGCTCATGGCTGAAGCTGAACAGGACGGAGGAGTACTTCCTGCTCTACTCCCACCTCACCTACGTCACACTTCCCCTGCACCGTATAACCACAGGTAGCAGACAAACATGCTGCACATAAACATCTTAATGATCCTAACAGTTCAGCAAAAAAATCTAATTTATACCATTTTACACTTACCCCAGATGTAGTTGCTCAGCCAAGACGTGTGGTGTCTAAATAGTTGCTAGAACACTAGAAGTCAATGGTCACCCAGATCTTTCCATAAATACATCCCCAAACTTCTCTCAACCCACTTAAACAGCACGCAGGTCTTCATTAAAGGGCCTATGAAAACTGAACTTTCCTAATTTTTTTTCGAAATGAGTGATTGATGTAGTATGTAAACATTGTAAAGGTTTCTAAACATACCATTAACTACCCATTTACTATATGGAAACTGAGCTGCAAAAACAGCTTGTGTTGAATTCGCTGTTTATGTGATGTCACAAAAACTAACATTTGCATATATTTACTTACGCAGCAGTTTTGCCTACAGCAGTTTAGCTTAATTCCTTCATGTTAAAGTTATAAGGTGTGTTTCAGTCTAGACTGTTTTTTTGAATAAGGCACAATACAGGGCTGCCAATCAGAACAGAGATCATGTACATATTTCAATCTTAAAGGCACAGTAACAACAGCCTGTGCAATTATAAGGCATAAAAAAGGTTTGAAAATGGTCATGTAAAAATGAATTAAGTGTTTTTGGTACATAAACCCACACAAATGTTGCGTTTATAATGCGTTTCCTCTAGAGGAAAAAAATAAAATACAAAGAAATGTAGGATATGTGCCCTTTAAGGTCCTGCAGACTTGTTGATGAGGTTTAGGACACAGTATGACACACAGTATGAAACTATAAAAATGAACAAAACTTCACTGGGTAGCTGAGCATAGCAGTAAGTAGAAGTGATAAGTGAAAGATCTGTGTAAATTTGATTGACCAAACCATTCCTTTAAGTTTTACAATGGGGCTATAAGGCTGACTTAGCTAACAAGTAATGGACATTTCAGTTCCAGTAGTTAGCAGTTCTATGAAGTCACTTAACATGTGTGTGATAAATAAGGCATGTAGATTTGGACATGATGCTAATTTATGAGGGATAGGCTTCTATTACTTGTTAGCTACATTAGTCTCATAGCGTCAGCTCAAAACTAAAGAAGCATGTATTCTAAGCCAGCACTCAACAAAATGCTGGCTAAACATCTCAGGTTGTGTTGCTGTTGTTGGCTACTGCACCCACTCCTCCCCCACACCCCCTTTTTCTTTGAACAAAGGATTTCATTCAACCTGTCTTTACTGAAGGTGTTGTAATTATTGAATTGCTCCCACAGATATTCTGGAAGTGAGACAAAAGCCCATTCTGATGACATAGCAGTTCCTGACTTCCTTCGAACACACGACTAAGTGCCTCTCCACATCAGGCCCCCGAGACGACACCGCCATCTAGCGTCCAGACAGAGAACCAAAAAAAAAACACCACTGAAAGGAGAAGAGAACAAATGTTGAGACCTAAAGGACTTATAAAATAAACCAGCCAATCAAGAAGTGCCTCTTCCACCTGTTCTTCTGTGTGCTCTGCCAGAGTCACTGTCTGTATGTGGGCACCAGAGCGAAAGAGCCTGGACAGCAGAACACCTCCTGAGACTCGTTGTTCATCAGATTGGCTCAGGTCTGGAACGAAAGCAGTTACTGGCTGACGTCCCGCCAGCGAGCAAAAGGGAAACGTGTAAAAGAGTTGAAAAAAAAAGAAAAGAAAACGCAAAAGAATGTCTTTGTTCCTTGTAAATACACTGCTGCTTAGAAACTCAGTGAATATACCAACCACGACCCTCTCCTCAGCCTTGTGTGGAAAAGAAAAAGAGAAAAAAGGCTCTCCCGGGTCTTTCAGTGTCGTTTATTTGTGCATAGTGCATTTTTTTCCAAAGGCAACCTCCTCCCATCCCTAGGCCTTAACACCTCCTAACCAGCTAATATGACACATAGACTCCCTTTTATGGCCTACGTATCACTTAGACTTCTCACAAAAGTCTGTATTTGGAAATGCTGGATGTGTCTTTTGAGTTAAAAACACAAGCTGCACAAGTAGGATTTCTCTTCTTTTGCTAAAAATAAGATGTGACGATATCTTTGTTCATTAGTATGTTTGGAGATATTTGTAACCTTTGTGATCTTTATAACTGATGTTGGTAGAATGAGTGAAAGAACGACAGCGAATTTGCCAAAAGGCCTTGAAAAGCGTGTTTTTTTTTGTTATTTTTATTCTTCCTAGAGGACCACTCCGTAGATTTGTGTTAGGACCAGAGCACAGTGCTTGGCATCCACACTATTGCAGTTATATACAGTTATATGTGCACAAAAACACCACTACACCATAGTAACTGTTCACTGGATGACATTTAACAAGATCACTCTTGTCCCTGTTTTGTTCTAACCCATAATCCTTAGGCTTCAAAAGCCGAACTTCAAAAATGAACCCGGCTCCATTCAATTTCTCCAGCTTTTGTCTTTTCTTGTTAAGTGTTTGAGTGTGGGTCTGGTGGCTGTTGTCCTTCGACACTCTTTTTTCTGTTCATTCAATTGGCTTTGAAATCACTTACGCTAAAGGCTTAGTGAAGATCGCGTGAGGTGAGCAGCGACCCAGACGGTCAGTATTATGTTGGATTTTGTGAGCTGAATGTATTCCTAGTGTAAAAATAGCTTACGACTGCTTCAATAACCATTTGATATTCGAAAGGCAACATGATTTGTCAGCAGCATTTTGAAAAATGTTTTTTAAAAAACATTTTGAAACTCGATTTATTTGTATTTATTTATTTTTAATTTTCTTCCTGTAGGCTATAGAAAGCCCATTTCAAAGCCAACAGAAGGCTGTTTTGAAGGAGGTCTCGTGGTTACATACACTTCTTTAAATGCTTTAACTGCGCTTTTGTATTCAGTTACAAAATGTAAATGTGCATGTTTAGCCAATATTTATGTTACACAGTTAATAAATGTACATTTTCTGTACCTCTTTATGAAAATACAAATTGCAAAAAAAAACACGTTTTAAATTTGTACTTATTAACACACGTTTTTCAGAAATACAAGCCAGAAACTGACGTGCAGGCTGACACTGCAGGTCCTTGAAGCAGATTTGTTCTCTGTATTGAAGTCTGTGCAGAGTTGAGGTGAGCAGAGATGAGAAAATCACTTCAGCGGACTTGGTGAAGCTGTGCATGCCTGAAAAGGTCAGAACTGCACGATAATTGTCAGGTGATATACAGTTATGTAAGACAGCTGAAGGGCTTAGGTCTGGTCAAAGCCTCCTGCAGCTCTGTCCATATTGCTGCTTTCCAGCTCTAATCTATTGGCATTCACATTTTCTGAAGCTTTGTCCTGCACACATCTCCTGTCACAGGGTTTGCTATTCCTATTGTGTCGGTTACATACTGGCACAAACACTAAAACTAGTGCTCAGCTTTTGGCAAAAGATAAAGGCTTTCAAATCCTTCTTGTAACAATCAGCTTAGTCTTCAACTGCAAGTAAACAGCATCACGTATTATGTGCCAGCATTTTACCCCCTTAACAAACTGCTCCAATACTCCTGTTTCTGGCATTAATAATAATAATAATAATAATAATAATAATAATAGCAGCAACTTTATGTTCAGAGTTTACACCAGATAAGAAAACACTATAGAACAAACGCCCTTCTAAAAAAACAAGCATTGAATATTAGTGTTGGTTCCTGGTGGTTTTTTAATGTTTTGGTTTTTCTCAGTGGGCTGATATTACAGCGTAAAGGATCTTAATGGTATACCAGATGAGCTGTGACAGATACTAGATGCATTTGATGGTTTTCTGATAGAATCTAAAGGTGTTCCACAGGAAACTGGTGGTCTCTAATAGTAACCACTGAGCCAAAAATAAGTCAAAGAAGCAAAGCCAGGTTTTAATTCTAATGTTACAGTTGATCCAAGTTTAGGTACTCAAGACTGTGATGAAAGCCTGATGTTTGTCATCAACAGCCATCGACATGAAGACAAGTTGAGTGGCTTACATTCCAAAAAAATGAAAAAATCATACTACAGAAATATGTACACTAAAAATGTAAAGCTGTGTTGTAAGAAAACACATTAAGTTGATATTAATTGAACTGACCCAGTTTTAAAATGTGCTTAAAGTATTAGTGTTGAAAAATGTAATTATCCCAAGATTAAATCCCACGTATTAATCTAGTAAAATAGAGAATGAGTTGTGTTTTTCCAAGACAAGTGATTTCCACCTGGTATCATGAGACACAGACCCAGTCCATTGTATTTAAAATAGGAAATGTCTCACATAAAACTTTTTAGAGTTACGATAACTTCTTTGATGTTTTCATGCATTCAAAAGAATCTTTGAATTGAATCAACATATTAAAATGTAGTCTGTTGCCATTCGCAGTGGGAGAGACTGCCACAGGAGACAAGATTTTATGGGCCCCGGCTCCATCTGATTGCATATTGGGCCTCTTTCCCCTTGTTTTACTACCATCTCAGTGATGTCTTTCCTCCTGGGCCAGGAGTGTCCAAACCTTTTTTAAAAAAAAGCCGGATTGTACAGTGTCAAAATACCCAAGGGCAGAAATATGATTATGACTCTGTGAAGTAACATGTTTCCTATCACTGTATAAAAAATGCACAGGCTTCTTTTATTGTTGGATTTCTCAGAGCTATTTAGATCAGTAAGTGCTTAGAACTATTAAATTGTTTAACAATAAAACATGTCTAATCAAATGTTTACTTGTTCAAAAATATAATGTGAGCCAAACAAAAATCTATCCATTTTCATTTTGTTAGATAATGTTCTGTACATATCAAATAAATGCAGCAACCACATTCAGGAATCACTTCATCAAACAGGCAGAGCAGATTAAACAGCATATATAGCCACATTTTTGTTCAGCCTTAAAGTGTTAATATTAATTGAACTACTGAATTTGCTCTGATAAGAAGTTGGTGCTGTGAGTCCTGAGTAGCTGCAGTTGCTTTAGTTTCTCTTCCCTCTCTAGAATATATATTATAACATCCATGCTTTGTTTCATGTTTCTTTACAGTCTTGTGACACATGAGGCGCACGCATTTGTTGTGGCTCTAAACGGGAAAGTATTCAAATTTCCATCTCGCCAAAATCTCCGGTTCTAAATGTTAATTTTGCGTTTTATGGCTGTAGTTATGACTAAATGTCATTCGGTAAATTAAGTTGCAGGTCTAATCAGAGCTGAAAAGCTCTTAACCTTTAGCCAACTTCATTACCACAGTGAGGTGCATTACTGTAATTTACAGCAATGCTGCCACCATCAGGTGAAAGTAAAAACTGCAATGTAATTGCTGGTTGGGCCACTTATAACACACTGTAAAACAGAAGCCGCAGGCCAATTAAAATCTGTCCACGGGCCCAATTTGGCCCCGGGGCCAGACTTTGGACACTCTTGGGTATAAATTTATAGTTATTGCTGAGCTTTGCTGTAGAACAGAACACCACCTTGTTCAACCCTAGTAGTCAGATCAACATAAGTTACATCAACAGTAGTACATTCAAGGTCAAATTCATTGTGTTGGATCAACAAAACTGCCTTATTTTGAAAGGAAGGTATTTAATTGTGTGGAAATCCTTTCCATAATCCAATTAGCTTCAGGTAAAGAGTGATTTTTTTTTTTTTAGTGCAGAAAGTAACAGTAAAAGCAGCGCTGCCACCATATTAGTCCTTATTGGAGTGTCTATACAGTATGATTTGTTGTCACCACAACATTTTCAAGTAATTGAGGCCACAAAGGTCACAAAGAAAAAACAAGTGACCTGAAAAGGACCATCAGGGTCCACCTCCATCTCAAATGAACCAAAATCTGTTTATGAACTTGACCTGTCCAGGAGCAGGTTAGCTTGCCATGGTGATGGAGCCCAGGCTTCAACTGAACTAAGCGTAAAGTTAGCTGGTAAGTAAGAACTCCTGCTTGGTAAAACAGGCCCCAGACAGACATTCAGTGAACTATGCAGGTGCTAGGCCAGTTAGAGCTTGCATTAGTGAAAGTGTGAAGACTAAACTCTAGATTTTAAAACAGGCTTATTTCTACAGACGCAGTACAAACTACAAGGGTGGCAGTGCATTTGGCTTCAACTGTAAATGAGTTAGTAATGTTACTGTAGCACAAGAGGGCAGTCTTATCCCTATCTGACATGAGTTCTTTCTGGTTGAACTCAATGTGTAGCATGGTTTCATTTACTAATCTGTAGGCTAGAGCTTTATCTAATACAGATGAAAGGATACGTAAAAGTTCAGTAAGCGTTTTTACATCTCGCCACGTAAAGAGTTTACTTATATCTTTTGGTTTGGTTTCATCAGCACTGACGTGGTTTTCTAGCCATCGAACTAACTAGGTGAACATGAAAATGCAATGTTTTTTTCTGGGGGAAACTAGACAGAAATAGTGGCTTCTATACATTTATTGTTACAGAAGTAAAACATTGGCAAGAATGAAGGCCTTTCGCAGGTTTAGTTTGTTCCAGAAGCTGCCAAACCATCATGCCTTTCGGATGTGCTGGACTTCTGAATTCAGAAAAAAAAAAGAAAAATCTTCTGTTTCTGTTTCTGTGTGTTTGAATTTATTGCTGTTCTTTTATGTAAAACAATGTCAGTTTAGAGGAATTGATGGCTGCTTGTAGTTAAAAGAGATGAGAACACGTTTTTTAGGTTTTAGGCTTGTATTACATCAGCTAGTCTCCATCCTTGGCTGATGAAACACTTCACAGAGGTAGAAATGTCAAGGCGTGTTGTTTTGGCAGTTGATGAGGTTACTGAAAAAAGTACACTTTCATTGAACATCCACTGAGCCTGAGTCCTTGAGGAATATATATTGAAGCAACCTAATGTTTGGCTCAAGGCAATATCAATGTAGCTCAGTGCTGCACTGTATAATTTTACCTGCTCCTCAACACCCAGCACACCTCATCAGTTAAACCTGATATGTTGAGCTGTGTAGGGCAGAACGAAGCACTGATGCTGTACTGGAGTTACTCCAGGTTTAGGATTGGGAAACAGTGACCCAAACTGTTCATAGAACATACTGTACACTCTTAAAAAGATGGTTCTTTAAGGGTTCTTTAGTAAAAGGAATGGTTCTGTTTAGGTCCATGAGTTTTATATAGAACCATTTCATGCTTAAATTGTTCTTCAGACGGATGGAGAATGTGTTGTATATGGTTCTACATAGAACTTCTCTGAAAATGGGTACCAAAAGAGGTTTTTCTACTGTTACAAACTTGGCATCGTAACAATAGCAGAACCCTTTTTGGTGCTATACAGATCCATCCACAACACATTCTCCATAATTCTGAAGAACCATTTCACCATGCAAAGAACCATGTACATATGCAATGTTTCTATAGGAAACACATGGTTCTAAACAGAACCATTCCCTTTACTAAAGAACCCTTGAAGAACAATATTTTTTAAGAGATTAGTCTTTTAACTTTTACAAACAGAAGAAAGTCCTGTTTCTGCATTTAAAGCATCTACACAAAAAAATCTGTTATGAAGTCCAACAGAAGCTTAAAAAATGTCCCCTTTTAACGCCAAATATAATCAGCCAAGACACATTCGGTGTCTGAATTTTCCCGCTACTGTTCTTCCTATGCAGCATCCTTTTGTCCATCTTTTAGATAACAGTATTTCATAAAGTCTCAGAAACAAAATCAGCCACTCTATTTAAGATTAACTGGCAACTCAACACATCTTGTTTGGTGATTTAGCCATGCAGTCTACACAATACCAACTAATGCTTTATAAGTTTCCATTACTTACTTATTAATTACTTAGTAGCCACATTAGCCTTTTAGCACCAGTGCAGAACTAAAGAAGCAAACTTCAGACACCAAATGTCTTGGCTGACTGACTGTATTTGACATTAGCTGGAAAATTACCTTTAAAAAAATTACCTTTAAAAAAATTAAATGACAATACATAAGTGTACCACAAGGGGGCGACAGATTTGTTCACCTGCATATGGAAGTACAATAATGGCACTGTGTTTACTTTTTACTCCTTTTTATATCCTTTTTTGATTTTATCAAATCTAGAAAACTGATTTTATTCAATGTTGTTTAGAGTTCTCAAAATCACAGAGGTGAGACGGACAGGTAGAGTTTCAACAGAAAGACAGGAGAGCAAAGCAGGCAGCTGCCTTATTAATAGAAAAATGCAGGAGTGGTCAGGAATATCTAATAAAATACGTCAAAATAATACATTTTTACTGAATCCTAGCATGCCTGAAACTTTGATGGCAACACAGGCCAACTCATTTTCTAACTCTATACCCTCATAAAGTGGACTGTTTAAACATCGGATATTTGTATACTGATTCACCACTTTCTAGGATTATTACGTTAAATAAAATACGTTAAGTATTTTAACTTCCTATCGCTGAGTGAAATGTGTACCGCAGTGTTTCCTCTGTGTTTTTTCAGTAACCTCCCGTCAGCCTGAAGATCAGGATCAGGTCGTCAGCCTTACCCGTTTCATTCGGTGCATTTTCTCGCTGTAAGTTGTAAACAAAATATACCGTCCTTAACAGTGGCTCGCCCCCCTTGGCTGGCTGGCTAGCATTAACAAACGAGCAACTAGCCAGGTTTGCAGAATAAAACAGATGACCAGTTCCTTTTGACCCAGTTTATTCATATTTCAGAAAGCCACTGTCCGCAAGTCCACAAAATGTAAAACTGAACTTAATTACATTGCAAAATACGGTCACCCCAACGCCCCCACGGTGTGCTGCGTTAGCCGGATCACTAACACGGCCGCCGGTTTATGAGGAGCCGGTCCTCTTTCTATGACTGCAAAACGCCAGAGGGCGCCCGCGAGCGAGTCCTCGATGAATGGGGGCGAATGGAGCCAAACGGCTAAAAACGAAAAGTTAAAACGGTTTCTAATCACGTGCCCAGAACCTTCCTCTAACTGTAGAAAGCAGAAGGATGTGTTTCACTAAAAAGCAGACTTACCTGCATGTCTCCTTTTTTCTACACCACACGGGTTTTGTGCAGCAGGACGCGGAGGTTACTGATACTGAGCGCTGATCGCTTGGCGAGCGGAGCAGCTCATTGGCTGTTCGCGCTCACTGACGTACATGTGCCGTTTTAAACTCCTATAACTCCAGTTTGAAAGATCTTAAAATATAACAGCGGTGTTAAAATGATTTGTGCTGTTCTGTGTTCAGGAAATGAATGTATTGTTTTATACTAAAATGTTTGAGCCTTTATAAACTATTTTATAACTACCAGTGGTGGACAGTAACGAAGTAAATGTATTTCTGTATCTTCTGTAATTCTGTATCTGTACTTTACTGAAGTATTTCCATTTTGCGCCTTTTTACTTTCGCTCCACTACATTTCAAAGTCAAATATCTTACTTTTTACTCCACTACATTATGTGAAACCTGTCGTACCTTTTGGCTTTTGTGTGTATAAAAACGTAATGTCAAAACGAAAGAAGCGTGAAGCAGCACACCAATCAGGGCACAGCGCTCACTTTGTTTTAAGCTTGTTTTGACCTGTTGGACATACTGACCCAGTGCAAGCATACAATTAAACGTCAGTGCAGCAGTGTAAAATTCTGGGAGTGTCTATTCCAACATAAATGATGAACTTACCTAACTTTGTGTAAATAGACCACAATATAGAGATATGTACACATATGCAGTTCTGACTGACGTGTCTTTTTTCTGAATTTCTACAAAAACTATTTCATTTTATAATAAATTTGTTTTTGCTATTTTATTTCATGTTTATGAACAGAGACCTACAGATGCAAAACAGTAAAGGAAAACTCATTTGTGAACCTGAGTTTAAAGCAAGTTTTTATTTGTCTTAAACTAAGTTGCATTAAGTTACTTATACTTTTTGTACTTTTACTCAAGTTGAGGTCTAAAGGGAGGAACTTCTACTTTTACTGGAGTAATATTTTACCTTGGGCATCTCTACTTTAACTCAAGTACATGATTTGTGTACTTCGTCACCACTGATAACTATTTATAAAAAAATTGCTCAAATGCTCCATCTTAACCAATTCATTTTGAACTCTCTCGGGAGCGCCCTCTAGCGTTTGAGAAACTCTGAACACATTACAGAGTGGTAATTCTCCTCTACAAGCTCTCTGACAGCATACCAACACTGTTTGAATAATCCACAAAACGTCTTAAACAAGTGATGCAATCATGCTTGGATATAAAAAGAGCATCCAGGAATGGCCTTGTCCTTTATGAGGAAGGATGGGTTGAGGCTCAGCACTTTGCCAAAGAACAGATCAGGGAATAACCCAAAGGTTTAACAACACTACAACTGAATGGCTATGACCTTCAGTCTCAAAGCGCATTGTATTAAAACTGGCATTACCACATGGGCTCAGGAATACTCTGACAAACCTTCGTCAATAAACACTGTTCAAAAGGACGCTGTTCTCTGGGCCAAAGAAGAAAAGGATTATCCAGACTGTTACCAGCACAAAGTTTAAAAGTCAGGGTTCATCATAGCATAGCTAACTGGAATATCTGAAAAGGAACCATTGACGCTGAAAGATATATACACACACATTATGGAGCAACATTTCGCTGTTGTCGGAAGAAAACTCCAAAATGGTAATTTTACAGGAGAAGGAAAAAACCTACTTTACTTTAAATGTAAGTCAATGGAAACAGAGTTTTTTTTCCATGTAATTTGGGATAATTTCTTTTGGTCCATTCTTCATTAAATTTACTCACACTATAAAGGCCAACAGGCATTTTCAAATTATGTAAAAAACTGAAAAACGACAAAAATGGAGATGCAGTGCAGTGATATGCTGCCTTCTAGACACGGCCTCTATCAGGGACATCTATGCTTACTTCCACATAACAGCAAGCCACATTCTGCACGTTACAAGTATGGCTGTGTAACCAGAGAGTGCCGACGCTAGACTGGCCTGCCTGCAGTCCAGACCTGTTTTGAGTGGGAGATGTCCCACATTACGATGTGCAAAATACAACAAAGGCCCTGTCTGACTACGCAGCTGAATATTTGTGTAAAAGAATGTAAAAAATAAAAAAATCTTATTTCAAAATGAGATCAACTGCCATCTTCAGTGCCCAAATGTTCAGTAAGTGCTCTAAAAAGGAAAGGTGATGTAACCATGTAAACATGCTCCTGTCCCAGCCTTTTTGGAACATGTGGCAGCCATCAAATTTGGGGAAAAAAAAAATGTATATTAACCAAAGAAGATAAAAGTTCAAGTAAAACATCAAACATTTGCAAACAAAGCATGTTTTCAATTTAATAAAGGTCAGAATTTACTAAGGTCTGCTCTGTTTTTATTACCATTTTACATACTGTCCCAAATATATGGAGGTTTGTAAGTGCAAACACTCCTATTTGGATCATTCTGTTTGTTGGTCCTGTTTAGAGTGGAGAAGTAGGCTAGCTGCAGTAACGTACAGCTTGCAAAGCAAAGCATTCAAACCTTTTAACATGAAGACATTAGTTCTCTAAAACATGAACTAAAAAGATCCACTGACTCAAAACATACAATAGAAGTCAAAAGGACAATGTTTCAGAAACGTACTGTTTGCCTGAGATGCAGCCAGAAAACGCTGGAGCATTCTTTTCAAAATTACTGCATAATTCAGTGGTCGAGATGTAAACGGTCATTCAGAGTGGTTGGAATAAGGTGTATGTAGAGAATTTTACAGACTCATTTCTTTACAGTGGTGTTGATAGGAATCAGGGGTCGATGTCTACAACGTAAACGCAGCCATTTTATTTTCTATCCCAAATGACAATCATTAAGAAACATGTCTCAGGCCTCAGGTAGCATCAGAACCACTTCATGTATTTCAGGTCCCATTTCAGCAGGATGCTGTTTCTTTTGATATACGTTGTCCTTAAAATTGCTGTAACAAGGTAATCTTGTTAGCTAATGATACCTGCAACACTACTATAAGTGACAGTAATGAAACCCACAAGTACATTTTCAGGTCAATTTGATTTATTTGCCAATTAATGAATCTACAAAAAGTATCTGGTGCTGTTAAATGCATGCCTCATTTTTCTAAGGCGTTACAAAGGTCACTTGGAAAAAGAAAAATTAACCAAAGAAGAAAGAAGAAAAATAAAAACTTTCACCAAGATCCACTTTAAGACAGATTGCCACAGAGCCAGCAAGTAAGGGGTGCAGGATAATTCACTTGCAATCTTGATAATGATGTAGAATGACAGATGTTTCACTGGAGGAACTTTACAGGGTTCATTTACACAAAGCACTCTTGAGGACTCTCATTCTGAATAAATATCAATTACAGCAAATGCCTGGAGCAACACACAGAACAGAACAAAAAAAAAAAAAAAACTGTATTACATCTCAAAGAAGTCCAAAGATCAAAATCTAGTATTCTGCAGTTCCTCCAATCAAATACCTGGAGAAACAAACTTTCAAAAGTTTCTTTACAGTTTATAATTTTCCTATGCAAGTTTATCCTCTTTTAGAGGGTCATTAAGCAATTCAAAATGCTTTCCAAATCTGAAGACGTCTGAATCGCCTCAAAAGTTAACTTTCCTTTTTACGAGAAAGGCGTAAGTACAAATCAATCAAGCTGAACTTCAATTCATACTCAAACTAATTTATTTAATCCTCACACATTCATAGCTGAATAAAAACAGCTCCTCAATTTTATCCAAGTTTAAAAAAAAACAACGAAAACATATGCTCTGCTTCACTTGTCTGTTAAATAGCAGCAAAAATTAAAACTCGACGGAATGTTCAAGAACCGGGCTTTTTATAGCCTGTATCTTCACTCTTAAGCGTGTTACCGTTGTCCTGACTCGGTTTGATTTTGAAATAGTTAAACCAGCATTTACGCAACTGATACTTGCAAAAGCATGAAAGTAGGACCGCGGCCGGGATTTCACAGTACATGAACCGATTTGTTGCCACTGCTCATGAAGGATGTGCGCTGGCATGCATGTAAAAACTGTTCAAGTTCAAATGGACTACAATAAGCATGAGTCCAGTGCGTGTATGATGACACAACCAGGGTGATCGTCACATACAGCCGTGCAAACCACATTCAGGCAATACATGACATACGTGGAGGAGGGGGGTGTCTTAAAATCTGAGCTGGAAAGAGTCTGTAAAAGGGTGGGGGGGGTGATGGCTCACGCTTTTTTCTCCTGCAGAATTTTGTGCAGTTCATCAGCGTCCTCCGCCGTTTTGACACGGATGAGCATTGGAACAGGAGTGGAGGGGTTCTTGTCATCCACAGGGGGATTTGGCACACAGACCACCATTACATTGTTTTTCCCTGTTCGAGAGCAGGGCATGGAGGAAGGGACCATGATGTTCAGCAGAATGTTACCTGGACAAAAATAAAGGGGCCACGTTCAGTCATGATCAATAACACAAAGTTGATTTAGGCTACTACACATTAAACACAAAATAGCACACACACACACACACACACACACACTTTTACTGGTGTAAGGGTAATGACAAGGGGTGGGGGGGAATCTAGATCTGAGGACTGAAGAACAGAAGAGAAAATGGAGGAAAAGGCACCGTATATGTCAGCATTTATTCTATTGTCCACCAGGGGGAGGATGCTATCCCATTGAATGTTATTTATTCAGTATTCTGCAGCATTAACAGCGCTCTGTCCAAAAAAACAAAAACATTGATCGGCCACTAACTGAATGAGTTATAATGAACTGTTCCCCTTTTGTTTCTTATTGCGTCACCCTTCATTTTCACGGCTGGGTTCGCGCCTCACATCGCTAGCTTTGTGACTCTCACTCAGTGCGGCAATCTGACCTACTTCTGAATGTCAAGGCAAGCTTGGGGAGTTATCACTGAAGAAATGCACATCACAGGTTCTTTTCAGACACAACGGCAGCATGAGTCTCCACTCACTCTATAGCATGACTAAGTTCTAAACACTGACAAATTATTGTCAAATATAATACTGACTCAACACTGTGCTAAGGATCTAATCAAAGTCTGGGCACAGAAACACAGGGTCTGCTGTACATGTGTCAAATTATTATTATTAAAAAATGCAACATTAGACCATTTTTTCTTTTACACGGCAGGTGTGTCGGTATAATGCACTGCAGCACTGTGGTCAATAGTACTGTTCTCATCTCCTTAAATCAGACAGCAGCATGTTCAATAAACAAAGCAACTTACCCAGGTTGGTGTCTGCCCGAACCAGAAGCTGCAGTTTGCCCTCTGAAACCATTTTCAAATGCAGTGTACCAACGCCTTTCTCTTTGAACTCGCTTTCCTTTTTGTAGAACAACTTGCACCTGTAATGCACAGTAAATAAAGAAAAATATTAAAGTAATGGTATGTGCACAACGTACCATTCACTCTAAAAGATGGAATTAGAACTAGGAGAGAAGTGAAGGATGGAATACTTTTTAGAGTAAAAGGCATCTTTTTCCTTGATCTCTTTAACCACAGGTACCGGAGGCTCATCCGATTCTTCATCTGCTCCATTCTCATCTGCAAGGAAAATGGAGATTAAAATGTAAGCCTACGTAAAGAAAAAAGGAACGTTCTCCTGGACTTCAACATTTTTGTACCGGTGTGTAATTCATGATTATGCAAAATCTAACATTACATTAGTAAAGTAAAAACTAAAAAGACGAACACTGGTATAGATTAGAACTGTATCATTTGCTCTTAATTAAAGCTCATTACAATCATAGTTGTGTATAGTTAATGCATAGTGCATTAATATACCACGGCAGAAATTTTAGCATAATCATTTAATTATTATTTTTACATAATTACTGAAGTTGTTGAATGTCACACATACATAAAAGGATCTGCTGTACTATCAATATAAAAAAATGTAAATTCCATTAATGTCTCTGCCCTGAAATGAAAGGCTCAATTTCTTATGCAAACCACATTCATATAAAACAATCACTTTAAAATATAATTGTAATTACCACACGTACCTAAATACCATCTTTAATCATTGCTTACGACATTCAAAAATCCAAAAGAAAAAAAAAATCTAAACATCTACATGCTCAAATGCATGCTGTAAGCCTTTAAAATGTCCTCAAAATTTAGACTGTGGTCATCACATAAGTTAGTAAATAAAGAAATTTAATTTACGGGGGAAATGGAAAAAAAAATAATCACATAAAAATCTTAATACTGGCCAAATTTAACAACACACTACATTTAATTTACTTAAATTAGATAAAATGCACTCAGTAAATCTGCACATTAAAATCAAGTGTTTTCTTTGCCTCAGCTTTGCAAGGCACAGAATAGTTGAAAATTCAAAAAACACGCTGCTGAACAAGCCCATGTAAGCTGAGCGTGTACCTGCAGTCTGGCTGTTGCTTGCTGCCTCTGTCTTGGCTGCAGTGAAGGAGAAGGTGGCTGTGGAAGAGCCAGTGCTTGCCGCACCTCCGAACAGGGACGTGGAAGAGGAGGAGGAAGAGGAGGAAAATGAAAAGCCGGATGCACCTCCCGAAGCAAGAGAGCCCAGCACAGAGCTGTCAAGCTTCTGGCCAAAGTTAAAGGTAACCCCTGTTGGAGCTGGAGCCGGTGCTGAGGCAGGAGCAGAGCTTTTCTCTGGGGCAGCGCTGTCCTTGTCCTTGGTGAAGGAGAATAAAGCAGGAGCTGTGCTGACGCTGGCCGCAGCTGGTGTTAAGCTGCTGCTGCTACTGCTGCTGGAAGAGAAGGACAGAGTGGCTGTGGCGCTGCTGCTTGCCTGGAGCCCTTTCTGCACCTCCCCTGCCGCTTCCTGCTTGGCCCCAGTGTCTGCAGCGGCCGAACAGCTGCCATATTTCTTCTCGATGCTGGCCAGGTGACGCTCATAGTCACGAAAGATGGGGTTGAGGTCGCACAGAGGGTTGTCGTTGACATGCTTGGTGATCCAGTCACGCACAGAGCAGTTGAGAGCTGTGAGCTGCCGGTTGTATTCCTTACTGCTGCTATTACTGCTACTGCCACTGCCGCCGCCAGAGCTCACGGCCAAGCTGGGGGTGGAGCCATTGGACGTGATGTCACCAGTGTCTGCAGGCTTGGAGGAGGCGGGGCCGTTGAATGACAAGGAGCCTGAGGGTGAAGGGTAGGGGAAGAGGGGGGGGGGAGAAGAGAGGAGAATTTTGACTGCACTGAATAGCAACGTTCCTCATGCTGCCTTTACCACAGCAGGAGAACGAAGGGGGGAAGCCAGATTTAGTAAGAGTGCATACTGGCTAAACCCTCTCGCCCCTCCCTCTCCTGGCTCTATGATGGGTGTGTCACAGTGCCTAAGCAAGCCCACTGCAGCTTTTTTCAGCTTCATTTATGTTTTTTTTTCCCAAAGTACTCTGGCACACACACTAACCGCTGATTCGGCTCCATTAGTCGCAAATGCCACAGCTCTATCCCCAAAAAAGGGAGCTTTTACAAGTCCATTTCAGGACAACACTTAAGATTTAGGAATCCAAATCTGACAACGTTAATTTCTAGGAAATAGGATTTAGCATGTACACTCGAATTTTAATGAGGCAAACATGAATAAAACCCTTATAATTTTTTTTTAAGTTTATTGTAGAATTTATGAAGACTTTTCATAGATTCACAGACTTCTCTCCTCTTGTTCCATCTTACCCTTACCTCAAATGGATGTCACTAAAGGAAAGGTTCACCAAAAAATCCAATTTACACAATCTTCTACTCGCCCCAGTTATAGTCCATCAGCCAAGACATATTTGGTGTCCAAATTTTGCCTGTTTAGTTTAGCGCTGGAGCTACGAGGCTAATGTTGCAAACAAACACTAGGAGTCAACAGTCACCCAAATCTTCTCTCTTTTCATCGTCAAATTCCATTGCTGTTTAAACATTTCTGCATAACCAACTGGTTAAGATGACACTCATTCAGAGTGGTTTGATGTGAAATGCTAAGTTCTGGAGAAACAAGAGTCAGAATTGTTCACAGTGGTAGTGACAGAAACAAGACATGTGAAAAGGTTAAGGACTAAAAGCTACATCACAGAAACGCTGCGATATGAAATGGTTATGAATAAGATTTCTGAGTTAAGGTTTTGCCTAAAACATTTTTTAAAAACAATCACAGTGGAAGGGTACATGCAGGATATTATAAGGTAAAATAGTACCCAAAGAAAATATTTTTCTTACATTTACAATTATTTTACTAGTATCAACATTACATATAAAACATCAGAAGACTCAAGCAGGTTCACTGGTTGTTTTGGATGGTAAATAAAATGGCTATGTTTGCGTTGTAGACATTACAACCCCTGGTTCCCATCACCAAATCTGAGCTGATGGACTACATCTGGGGTAAGTGGAAAATTGTGTAAATTTCATTTTTCACTGAACCATTCCTTTAACAGTTCAAGTATAACACACATGACTGGAACTGTCATGGTTACTACAGTTTGAAAGGTTTACCAGGATTGGCCTTGGAAGTGGCAGGGGAGTTGAAGCCTCCGAAAGATGGGGCGACAGATGATGTGCTGCCATTGGTCAGACCAGTGAGGGGTTTAAAGCCAGCCCCATTTCCAAAGCCTGTGAAGGCTCCTCCAGCTCCTCCAGCTGACGAGGCCAGAGAGAAACCCTTGAAGGCTTTAAATGCTCCTGCACTCTCTCCCTGTAGCAAAAGGAGGAAACTCATCTATTATTCACATTTAAACCCACTGCACTGAATGTTATAGTAGTCACATTGTATTTTATTTTTTGCTGAGTGCACAAACACTTTACAATACTAGTAAAATTACTTTCACATAAAAAAGTTATTAAATATATGAATTAAGCAAAATTTACATCAGTGTCTGGTATGGGTGTCTTTAGCATAAGAAAAGTGGTGGCTTGTATTTGACATGCCCTTACTGCTTGGAGTCAGTACTCAACCCTGAAACTTGATAAGGCTATCTTTAGCTGATGTTTAAATAATAAACCCAGAAATAAATAGACATAATAGAAACATAGTATGAACATATTACTTTATGTGCAGTGATCTCATTCTGTGATACTAAATAACAACCCATTTTCATATGACACTTGGCCATGCAACTCTATGTATGATACAACGATATTCTGCAATAAGGCTAACGTGTCCTGGAAGTGAGGAAGTAGTCTCGAATCTCAGTTACCTCAGCGCCAAGATTTCGACGCTTGGCTTTCTTGATGGCTCGGTTTTTCATCACATCCTCACTCGCAACTGAAAATGTCCCTGCCTGAGGAGACAGACAGAAGAGCCCCAAATGTTAAATGTGGACACAAGACAGACTGAAATGAACTGTTTACCAAAAAAAACAAATATACACAATTTTCCCCTTACCCCACATGTAAGCCAAGATATTTGGTGTGTTTAAAGTTTGCTTCTGCAGTTTTCCATTGGAACTATGAGGCTAATATAGCTAACAATTAATGGAAACTTATTAGCACTGTGAAAACTGTAGGCCCAAATCATCACACACTTACCTCAAACCCTGTCAAGTAGACTGACTCACTACATATGAGGTAAGGGGAAAATTGCAGAAAATTGATCAGTTAACTAATCCATTTACTATTAAGAGTAAAATTATCAGACACACAAAATATCAATGCTTTATAACTTGAGTCACACTTTGACATCAATTTTGCAACACACCTCCATTTAGAACCCAGCATACAAAAGACTGTACCAGTACAGAACAACATACTTCTTGCAAGCTACTTAAAAACCCAATTCTACAGAAAGTTGGGACAGTATGGAAAAGCACAAAAAAGTAGTGATTTGTAAACTGTCTTTCACATGTGCTTAACTCAGGGGTCGGTAACCCAAATGTTAAGAAGAGCCAGTTCGTCCTTTCAACAAAAATCAAACCACCTTGAGAGTCAAAACATTATGTCCATTTTTACCATGTTGGCTGTAAATGTGTCTCAGTATGTGCCAATGTCCTAGTTTTGGCTAAAAAGTCTAATATAAACGAAAACGCAGACTAACTTTGCTCTGCTTTGAGCATTAGCTAAGCTATAGTCGCTTTTCTTGCATCTCAGTCAGGAAACTTTTCCGCAAAAGTGGAACAGCATCTTATAAAAAGCTCTCTCAATGTTCCACTTTTTATGAGGCTGAAGTCAGTTTCTCATTTGCCAGCTTCTTGTTCCGAGTTTTCCCGTTCCACCTTAAATGGTGCCTGAGGTGCCAGAATATAATTGCTGCACCATTTAAGATGGAACGGGAAAACTCGATCGAGAAACTGACTTGGCAACTTTTTAGTGTTTAACAGTTTCTCTTTGCAGATTAAACGTATCAGGAAACCAGCTGGAGTGCTTATGAATGCAAATAAGTCTATTTATCTCCAAATTATCGACGTTTGTTTTAAATCTCTCTCTTTGCTGTTTCGTTAGCTACTAGCTAGGCAAGACTATTGTTTGTGTTGCTATGTGACCAGCAGTCTGCACACCAACCTTCAGGGTCAAAAGTTGGTGGATTAGCAGTTGTCGGCTACATTAACTCCAAAGCGGAAACTACCCATCAACATTAAGAAACGTCACTGACTTCTCTGGGCTAAAGATCATCTGAGATGGAATGACACAAATTGGAAACGTGCTGTGCTCTGAGAAGTCCATCTTTCAAATTGTTTTTGGAAATAATGGACATTGTGTCCTCTGGGCCAAATAGGAAAAGGACCACCCGATTGTTACCAATGCAAAGTCCACATCTGTCATGGTATGGAGGTGTGTTAGTGCCAATGACATGGGTAACTTGCACATCTGTGAAGGCACCATTAATGCTGAGGGATGAATACACATTTTGGAGCAACACATGCTGCCATCTACAAGACATGTTTTTCAGAGACACCTCTGCATGTTTCAGCAAGACAACGCCAAGCCAGATGATTACCGAACATTAGTAAAAGGAAAGGTGACATAATACGTAAATATGCCCTTTCCAAACTTTTTGGAACATGGTGCAGGCATAAAATTTAGAATGAGCACATGCATACAAAATACAATAAAGTTAATTCGTTGAAACGCTAAATATCTGGTCTTTGTACTGTTTTCGATTGAATACAGATCAAAAAGTATTTACCAAGAGCCAAAAGTAGTGCAAATATCCATATTTGAGTGCCAATAATTTTATCCTGACATGCAGTACTTTCTTAAATTTGTAAATCAGACTAATAAAAGGGAAAATGTTTTATTCTTTTCACTTTTTTCTTGTAGATTTAGTGAAAATTACTAATAAATTTAAATGTAGACAGTAGAATGATTTAAGCTGAACTGCCATCCAGGAATAATATTTTTTATGCCTTAAAGATGAGGACATTTGGAAATGTTTAGTTCAGCGAAACAAACTGTCTTTAAGACTTCCTATGTATGCTGTATTTGCATCATAGGTCTTGTTGCAGTTAATAAAGTTAACACTTACTTCTTCTCCTTCATCTTCCTGATCCCAGTTCCTGTCTGTCAGCTCCTTCTCTGCAATCCGCTTTGCCATCACAGATCTGCTTACAGATAAAACAAATGTGGAAACTATTAACCAGCTGAATTTCAACAATGAAAGATGCAAGTGCAAAAAAACAGTCAACCAATGTCACTTCACAGCTTAGCAGATTTGTTTTTTTTTCTGCCCATCTGTAACAAGTGACATTTGTGAAAAACAGTTAAGTAAATTCAAAACACTTTAACTCTTCTGATTTTGCACATATCCTTATAGTAAACTTATAAGCCTATCAAAAACAAAAAAGAACAAAGCATAACCCACCAAATGCTAACTTGGTTTTAACAAAAACTTGTTGCTTGTAACACATTCAGAAAGCAACAGAGGAAGAAATTTAGTACATTCAACAGACAGACAATCTACTGCATAGCTGCCTTTGTTTTTGTGTCTACAGTTAGCAAATAATGTCAGGCTTCCAATCAGCAGGCATGCATTTGAATAGTGATTAGTACCAAAACCAGATTTTCTGTTCAGATTTATCTCTATTTTATCAACAGTAAATAAAATGGCTATAACTGCACTGTACACCCTGCAACCCCTGGTTCCTATCACCACCACTGTAAAGAACCTGAGCTTCTCATCATACCACTCTGAATGACTATGTTTATATCCTAAGCATTAAATTATGCAGAAATTTTGAAAAATCAAAGGACTGCCCCTTTAAATGTTCTGCTGGAATTCAATAGGTTAACAAATCAAAATATCACAAGCAGGTTGCCATTTTTGGGCCATCTAAAGACCTTTCAGACACTAAGAGCTAGAGCTGGGCAACACAATAATATTTAGTGTTATGATAAATTACATGACAGTACGTCACATTATGCTTTTTCTGAGCATATCATGGATATCGTCAGCACTTAAAAATGCTTCCAAACTGCATGTCTGATTAAAAAGAGAGCATAATTAGTGTTGCTTAATTGGATTTAGTGCAGTGCAGTGTGTGAAATATTAAATACTGGATCCATAGTTCTTATGATGTTTCTAAAACGCGGCACTACTTTGTCTGTTCTGACTTCAGATTTCAGAAAAATAAATATCGTAACACATGCATCGTAAAAAACTTTCTGAACTATTGTGTTATTACACTGCCATATCGCCCACCTTTATAAAGAGCATTTTCTGACTCTCAGAACAACAATGGTTAAAGTTGGGACACAGATTAGCCCAGTGTTACTGCCCCTTTGTACATTCCCGAGACTTTTTCGAGACTGTCTATGTTAAATGATTTTAATATTTGTAGAGATCAGCAGCTGAGGCTCAGATTTACCACTGACCTGGCACACTCCATGAAAACAAACAGAAAATCTGGGGTTTTCAAGTTGCGTTTATAGTTGTTTTTATTTTTTAATTTTTAAAATATAAAGAATTTTAAAATAACCTACTTTACAACACGATACAGATGAGAATTTGTCACTTGATTACCTTCCCAAAATTACTGAAAACTCTTTTTAACTAGGCCTTGTATGGGATCAGCGTTTAACGGCTTGTGTTTTAACGCGGTTTAAGTCAATCTATCTAATTTCCTCACATAATGGCGGTCAACTTGTCACACCAAGCATTGACAGGTAAATTAAAGGCAATTTCCACCAATTTTTCAAAATTACTATAAATAAAAGGTTAGGATTGAAACGAAGACATTCAGAATGATTTGATGTGAAACGCGCCGTTCTAGAGAAACTTTTTTCGAGCCAGAATTATTTGACTGGTGGTGATAGGAACCAGACGTCCGAATAGTTTATTGCCTCCAAAAGCTTCCTCACAGGAGGGCAGTTCTTACATAAAACGACTACAAATATGTTGACTATTGACTGAAATACAACTTCACGATAGTTTTAAAAACTTATTAAGTCCTAAATGGCGGAAAGGGATAAGCAGGGCGTTATAAGGAAAATAGCGCTCAAATAAAACTCACTTTATCACATTTACAACTATTTTACCATAAACAATACATGTCTAGGCTCACTAGTCGTTTCGGATAGCAAAAAAAATGACTAACGTTATAACTAAGGACGCCTGGTTCCCATCACCACCACTGTAAGGAAATCAGAGTCGTTAAGTTCGCACAATTTCATGTCAAAACACTCTTGAAATTTTACAGCTCTGCGACTAAACTATACAGTTTAAAAAACAAAAAAATCGCCTTTAACGCAAATAAACCTCCCTAGTGCTGCTCCATAATTACTTTTACAGTAAAGTTATAGAGCTAACTATACAGTCGTTTAGAAAGTAAAACCAACTTAACGCCAACTTCTTTAGGGTTTAAGCGAACCGTCATCCTTCACACTCTTCCTTCCTCAACTGCCGCGAGGGACGACAAACTCGTTTTAAATAGCCCCCATATCATGAGTCTGTAATATAGCGTTACTCCCGGAGCACATGACATTTTCAGATGTGGCAGATTTACTGGCGAACCTCAGGCCGACCGGCAGCCATCTGAAGGCCGGTCACTTTCTATCCAGCTAGCTAAATGAGCTGTTAGCCGTTAGCCGGCAAACACTACCTGACTAACGACTGACAGTGAAACATTTTCCCGTGAATATGAAACGTACCGTCGTATACACACCTTTCTGGCGAGCACAAAAACGACACCAAGCAGCTACTCTGAGATATTACGGGCCTAAAATAACAACACCGGCTGCTTTCCCACTCTCACCACGCCACCATTTTAGAAAACGGGATATTCGCGCGTCGAATAGCCGCACTGCGCATGTGCAGTGAATGGGGCTCGATTATGTTTGTGGGAAATGCAGTTTTCGAGCTCATTTTTACACACAACAGTCTTAAAGGCACAGTAACAAAATATATGTCAGAATTTGGAGTGGGCTACAAAGACAATTTCAACTACAAATTTTAAATGACTTGGTTCACATCATGCTACAGGTAAGGATTTGTCACTAGCAGGACTACAGCACATTCCTTAATTGATTCTACTGAAAATTCTTCTTTAAATAGGCCTTGTATGGGACTAGAGATGGCATATTGGTATCCTAACTGTTGGTATTGGGCCAGTATCAGCAGAAAATGCTGGATGGGATATTGGCGGGAAAAAGAGGATGAATCCAAACCAGTGCTGTAACAAATCTATCCTGAAATATCACACTCACATTTTGTGATGTTAAGTTAACTGTGTGTTTTTTCCTCTTCGGTAGTAGAGGGTTAGAGTAGTTTGGGTATGATTGCAGACCTTTAGGAGTGCTTCAGCTGGAAATAGCTTGTTTTAAAGCTTAGTAATTCTTAAAGAAACTACTTTTTAAGTTTCAGTTATGGTATCAGAAAAGGAAAATCGACTTTGTCCTACTGTTAATTTGACACAGATGACTTTCCTGTACAGACCAAAGAAAGTCAATCAGTTAGCAGCAGAGGTAGAGCAAAAATAGTCTATTGCATGGCAGGTTTATTAACATGTATTTTCAATATGCATCTACAGAACCAAAAATGGCTTGTTATTTTTATTACGCACAACAGTAAGATACATTTTTCTCTTTCTGTTTGTTTTCTCTTCCTTCTTTGCCTCACCTAACACACTGAAAGAAAAGACTGCATTGAATTAGCCTGATTCAGTAACTCCGTTATTGCCAAATATAAGAAAGACAAAATCTAAACACTGAAATCATCAAGGTTAAAGGGGAATTCCACCTTTTTTTCAAAATTTCTGTATAATTAAATGTATACATGTAATCAAAGTTCTGGAGAAACTTAAAGTCAAACTGTTCACTTTAGCGGTGATAAGAGCCAGAGGTCTGAAGAGTTTAATGGATGATTCCATGATCAGGTTGCCATTTGTGTCCCACTGATTTTACAATTACAAATATGTATGAAAAGTAAAGATAAAGGACGTAACAAAAACTACACTTTACCTTGAAATGTAATCATTAATTAATCAATAATATTCATATTATTGTATTATTTTTGCACCAATGCATGAATCCATTTAACATTTCATGCTTGAAACATCCTTCCATTATAGGATATGAAAAATGTATGTTAGTATCCCTACAACATTCATCCAACCCTGTTACCTGAACACATTCACCTCTGAGAAATATCTGACAGGAATTTGCACCATCTGAACTTTCTGAAGATCATGGGAAGCAGAAAAGTATATTTTAATTATTTTTTCTTTAGTTATTGTGATATGGACTGGTGAAGTAACTTTAAAGGTTCAGCCCTGTAACCCAAATTATAGACTGAAATACACTAGCATGGATGCCAGTGTATTTAATATGCTGCCTGATGCCTTACACATTGTTTTAGGATAGCTTTGAGAAGGTTTAATTTCTAAAATACATTCATGGCAGAGAGATACAGGCAAGTTAAGCCAGTACAGTCCCTCAAAGAAAACTTTCAGATTGATCGCTAATTTACCATCATCAGCTTTACATATAAAAACTATAAAAAAAGAAGGTTCATTGGTCATTTTGAATAGTAATTAAAATGGCTACATGTTGCTCTAGATATGGCCCCTGGTTCCTATCACCACCACTATAAAGAAATCTAAATGGGTAAATTTCTCTACAATGAACCGTTTCACATTAAACCACTCTGAATGACTCTTTAAATCTTAATGATGTAATTATACAGCAATTATGAAAAATACATGGAATTTCCCTTTAATGCATTAAGTTTTCAGTGCACACATGGAGCTCCACTATGACTGTAGTCATTATATTTTGTCTCTGTGATCACTGTCACACTATTTAAAGTCTTTTTTTCTGCTAACTGTAATTGACAGCTTAGAAAAGGAAATAAAACGTAGCTTTAGAGCTACTATGCTGTGAAAAACCTACATGAGAAATCTGGATGAAGGTAGCTGATGCGATCTGTTACTGCCAGGTTGTTGGTGGGGTTCTGCTTCATCACAGGGTGTGACTGATTCAGAAAGACTTTAGAGGGAATTTTGTGGAAAACGCTGCAGCGCTGCGGAGCAGATGGCGCCGCTCCAAACGCTCAGGATCCCACAGTCACCGTGCCAACCAGGGAACAGGTGCTGAGGAAAGTAGGAAGTGAGCTTGGAGCCCTGACCAGCTGGCCGGGAGAGAGCATGGAGGACTGAGAGATGGGGGATCAAGCTCTGTGTGCGGGACAAAAGAGAAAGAGAGAGAGGGCATGTTTACTGTTCCTCATGAATGGGGGGGATCATGGTATTAACCCTTTAATGCCCTAAGACTTGTATGTGGGCCCACTCTCATCAGTACAGAACACACACAGTAGATTCATAGCACTGAATAACAAGACTTAAGATTAATAACTAAATAATAAAAAGGGTATTTGTTAAATTTGAATGTGTAGATCATCTCTACATGTAAAATATATTATATTCACACAGTATTGTCTTTCAGTTTACCTACTTTTGGTAATTGTGTTAATATAATATATTTGGGTGGTTCCTAATATTAACCCCTAAGACCCTTTGGGTCTGTTTGTGGGCCCACATTTCAGTCTTCAGTGTAATAACTTCATAGCTTACATGCTGGTTTCATAGTATATATATATATATATATATACACAGGGAGATTCACTCAAAAGAGGCCCCGAATATTCTGTTGCCCTTTACATTGTGAGTAAATTGTAAATTTCAAGAAGAATGAAGAAATGGCCCAAATGACGTGGGAAAAATTCCGGTTCCATTGACTTATATTAAAAGTAAAATATGTTTTTTCCTTCTCCTGTAAAGTTATCATTTTGGAGATACAAGGTTTTTGCTTTTATATAAAACAATGAGATCTAGCTGTAACCATGTGGCCATGCAGTCTCACTTCCTATAAATGATGATTGCTATATGTTTAGCTTATTACTATCTCAATTACTGCCTTGGGTTTAAATAGATCATGACATAATCCTTGTGATTATCTAGAGCCTGAATGCTTGTTTTTTAATTAGTTTTTTTACAGTGGAACTGCAGTTTGAACTAATTTAGTAAAATGGTCCATATACAAATAGTAAAAACACCCCATACAAAATGACTTTTGTTGAAGTAAAAAAAGGTTAACTTGGCTTAAATAAGGAATTTGTCTGCAAATTTTAGTTTACCCCCTAAAAATGCCAGGTTTACTACATACTAAGGCTTATTGTTCAGTAACTACAGGGACTCCATTGCAAACAGGTTGAGCTATTCGTAGGTTATAGAAATGTGTAATGAAACTTTGGGCCCGCTGACCTGCTCTGGCCATTTAAGGGGGTAACAATAACATTTTAAGAATAAAAATAAAGCATAAAATATAACTTTTTATAGGCCAGGCTTTATGTTTTCTTTTTTCAATATGTTAAATTCAGCAAATAAACAGCAACTGTGCATTAAAATTTATCACTTTTTTTTACATTTAAAATTTTATTGTTAAAATTTTATTGTATTCAGTTTCGACTATAGTTTTGAATATTTCAGGGGAACTCTTGCTTACCGACTTACTGACTCACATTCCGTTAAACAAATGTTGCTCCAACTTAAAAGGGGATTACACAGATTTTTTTTAATTCTGCTTAATACAGTGGTTAAAACATAAACAAAGTCATTTAGAGTGGTTTGATGTGAAATGGTCCATTATGGACAAACTTACAGACTCAGATTTCAGACAGTGGTGATGATAGGAACCAGGGGTTGCAATGTCTACAGTGCAAATATAGACAGTTTATTTAATATCCAGAACCACCAGTGAACCTACATGTGTCTTTTATATGTAATGTTAATGATGGTAAAATAATAGTCAGTAGTGGTCAAATAAGTTTTTTGGGGTCTATTTTGCCTTAGAACACACGTCTTATATCCTTTCACCGCAAATGCATGAAAATAAATTGATTAAAATACATTTTAGACCAAAACTTTATCACAAAACTACTGTAAAACAATGTCTCCGAAATCAGGCAAAGTTTTCATAAGCATTTCATGTAACACCTTTTTGTGAGGGAGCTGTTAGAGGCATTAAACTCCTTAGACATCTGGTTCCTATCACCACCACTGTGAATACTTCTGATTTGGTACATTTCTCTTCTATGAGGCATGTCACACCAAACCACTCTGAATGATTTTGTTAAGATGTTAACCATACAATTATGCAGAAATTTTGAAAAATTGGTTAGAGTTCCACTTTAAGAGACATTTCTAAATGTCGGCTACAGTATCTGCACTCTGGACGCCCTAAATATCTTCTATTAGAGCTGCCAAAGTGCTTTGATTTTCTCTTATCACAAATAAAGCATGTTTTTAAAGGCTATCACCATGTAGGAACTTTATTTTTTGCTTCAGCAGGTGATGAAATCTACCCACTGATGTTTTCTCCTTTAGGGTAAATTCCAGTGGGATGCATCAACACTGCAAAAAGTGATAAAACGGGTGCTTGTTCGGTGCAGTGGGAGGGGCCACAGTCTGTCCCTGACAAAGGGGGAGATGAGAGGGCCTCCTAGTAGTGAAGATTACTGGGCTGATAC